ACTTGGTGGAATACTTATATCCTCATGTTATGCCACTAGTATGCTGAAATAGTGCCAAACTCCATTTAGCTTTGTTTTACATGCTTGTTTTGGCATTGGGATGCTGGATGTTCTAGAACTATTCTTATGTCTCTCCGTGCTCTTGTCCCTTTACTCCTTGGGTTGAACACTTAGGAGTCGCTTTATGCTCTCCTTCGCTCCTTGGCTGCAAACTTAAGATTTTGGAGCTATATCTTCTTAAGTGGCCTATGGCCCTAAAACTGGAGCTTTACTCCACTATGCTTGGGCACATGGTATATGATATATAGCACATGGAGGTTTAAGTTCTACTTTGTGGTTATCTTATGGTAAACTATCATAGGATAAAGGGTGAAAACCACATGTGCTACAGTCTTGTAAAGCATCTATAGATCAAGGTATCTACCATGGGATTATGGTATAGGTGGATGACTAGTGCCTCATATGGAATAGTTAATTTACACAATGAAAGAATTTGTAGATTTAGTGCGGAAATGAAAGTGTTGGTCCACTTGGTTTAGGGTTGCTACTCAATAGTCAATGAAAACATTGATATTTCTGAGAGTGTAGTGCATGTGATTATGAGATGAAATTAAAATATACCATCACCATGGATCTTTGGAAGTTTGAGGGATAAATGAAAATAAAATAATTATTAAGGGCTCTCTCTTCAAGTAATTGCCCCTTTTCCAATTAGCTTAAGGGGAAAGAGATAGAGTGTGCTACAAAATTGTTTAAATGAGTTTTTGAGATTGTTCTAGAGTGGGACTAAAGTGAAAAGCCAAAGTGTGTTTACATAATTAATAATTAGGGGGGTAGGGGGGAGCTTTTATGTGTAACTATCCTTATTCTCCATTTGGCTTGTACCTAAGCCTAAACCTCATACCATGCTAATTGATAGAGTACCCATCTCTTCATGTGTGGCCACTCGTATGTTGAAATAGTGTCAAAATTTATTTAGCTTTTTTTATGTGCCAATCTTGGTGTTGGGATGTTAAATGCTCTAAGATTGTTCCAATGTCCCTTATGTTCTTGTCCTTTGCTCCTTAGCTGTACATTTAGAAATTATTCTGTGCTCATGTTTCTTCAATCCATATATATATACTTAAGTGTTTGGCTTTGTCCATTCGTTTAGGGGCCCTGAGCTTTGCTCCATAGTTATTCTATGGTAAATCACTTTAGGGTAAAAGATGAAAATCATATGTGCTACATGCTCTAAGTAAGGCTTCTTTGGTGGATCAACTCAAGAATTCAACATTTTGGGTGATGGTGGCGTGTTTGACTTTGCTAACTAATGTGTTATAAATGTAACTGTGGGCATTGAATGTTATTTATCAATGAGTCCTTTCATCCTTACTGCCACCACAATAAGCTATTGGTACTACTGGTTCCCTTTATTAGTCCCTCTACTTCAAGTGTAGTAAATTGGTTTTAGCAGATGTACTCAGTCAGATAAACATACTAAGCATACTCAGCCTAACTTTTAGTTCTATTTTACTCTGTCTTACACTAACTTAAGCACTAATCCCTCAATATTACTATATGATAGTTTACTATTTTTATTACTATCATGCTCCAATGTGTTGGTTTCATATCAATTATATTAGTCATTTATGAAAAGTGTTTAGATATGTCAATTTAAGCATATCTATAGCATGTAAAGATTGCATTGAATATAATAGTGTTGTACCTATACCAAAATACATAATATAATATCATTTCATATTTAATAAGTTTTTAAGCTTGTTCCATAGACTAACTCTTGGGCCTAAGATGAAAGCCCAAAGTAAACTTTTATATAGGGTGGTGGCTATAAATATATAGGAGAGATAATTAGTAAGTTAGGCATGGTTGACCAACTTGAAATATTATTTGGCTCCTTGTTAGATATGTTTCTTTTTTACTTGATTTTAACTCTAGGAATATCTATATCCTCGCAATCAATATATTGAAATAGCATTAAACACCATTTAGCTCTATTTTGATTTTGGTGTTTGGATATATGCTAGTCTTGTCTCCCAAGGGCTTGAAATTCAAGTCTCACTCTATTGCTTTTAGCACACATGCTCAAGGGTTAGGTTCTACTTTATAGCTCCTATAATAATTTATTATAGGGTATAGAGTGAAAACCACATGTAGCACACGATATAAGAAAAATTCTTGGTTGTTAGAGGAATTGTAAATGCAAAGACTTTAGTGGCTATTCCAATAGTAGTGAAATTTTCTTAAGAAGTCTTCTACTGTAAACAAGAAACCACTAGTTGTCTATTATGGATGACTTTGAAGTTGTTTTCAATTTATATTTTTTCCCTCACTATGACATGGAGAATGCTTGTATGGAATTTTGATATTTTCAGTAATAAAAAATAACACTTAGGACTACATTGAAAGCTTATTTTCTTGATTAATTGTATTTCAATTAAAGATTCAAAGAATAAATTATACTTTATTGATGGCTTTTAAAGTGAGAGCATGAGGCAATACTTATATCATTTTCCTATGAAGCATTTGGAGGAGTTCTTTGATGTGGGTTGTTGATTTGAAAATGGTAAGCACAAATCTCATAAATATTTAAGGAGCCTTTCAATAAAGAATTATTATGATAATTGTTATAAACACAAGGATGGAAATAGATATCACAAATTGAAGCCTATAGTGGTTACTTTAGATACAAAATCATTGAAGAAGTATAAGTTCATTATTAAGAATTATAAGCAAGATTGTCATCATTGTAGTAAATTTAGACACTACAAGGTTGATTGTTCACAATTGAAGAACAAGTAACAAAGTAAGAAAAATAATTAATCTTTTAATAATGGTAAAGTTGTAAAATTTGCAGTGTGAGGATGATGAGAAGGACTATTCTAGTTTTTAAAAGCGGCTCTCGATTGTTTCTCATTAACTAAAAAGGTAGAGGATGAGGATATTTGTGAATCATTTTTAATGTTAAAGGGTATATTCTATGGTTTAGTGTAAGTTTTACTAAACAGTAGAAGTAATGATAACTTTGTTTTACAAAGTTTATTGAGGAGTATAACTTTGTGACATAAGGAATTCTTCTATACACAATGAAAGGTGCAATTACTTTTACACAATATTCAATGCTTGAGTAAAGAGGGTTAGTTGGCAATATCACACTTGTAGAGACTTTTTATCTAATAGAAATCCATTATGTGAAACTTATTTTAAGAATATTATAGTTGATAAAGGTGGATCCAGAGATAAAGTGGACCATTAAATATGTCTTACTATAGTTTAGTGGCATTAAGTATATATGGGGAGTTTAACCTCAAGTTATTATGTTCTCTACTACATCTTTGAAGCAGGTTTGTTATTGCGTGAAATGTCTTTTCAAGAGTTTCTCAGAGAGGGAGAGGGGGAGAGAGAGAGAGAGAGATCTTGTCAAGTCATATAAAGTTAGAATTATAAGTCATAATTATGGAATATATAATATAGTGATCACTTTCATATAGAGTGACTATACTAATTATTAGTTGTGTTAAATAGGGGTTAAACCACTAAATTTCTACTTAAGAAATAAATATTCTATCCATTGAGCTACATATGCATTAACAAATTATGCTAATCCATTCTAATCAATATAGTGTTGAAGAACAACATTTTCATTTATGTTCACTAGCAAAATCAATTCTTGGTAAGAAAGTAGCATAACTTGAGGTAAGTCAGAGTTATACTACTCAATTAACCATAAACACTTTGTATTCTCTATCTCTTGTATAGGTAATGATGGGAACTTTGGCTTGCAAATTTTTTATTATCAACAAAACTAACAAGATTTTGTTTCTCCTGTTTTCCACAATAAGGTGTGGTTTTGGGGGCAAATTTGCTGGGATCAAAACCATCCAACCATTTTTGAGGCTTCTGTGAGTTGGGGTTAAAGTCCTATAGAATTACATATGATAATTGAACAAGATATAGAGAGAGTGATGAGCTCTTTCTCATAGAAGAGGGCTAGTTATGGAAGAACAAAATTTGTAAATATTGTAATTTCAAGCAGCAAGTTCCTTCTTAACTTACTTTCAAGCTACTCAATTGCTTTGTAAATATACCAAGGAAGCAAGAATACAAAGACAACCTCAGTCAACACCTAAGATTTATGGGAACCTAACTGTGATGCAATTCATTTTAAGGTCACATAAATAGAGAGGTGCATTGTACTTAAGATTTGGAATATGTTAGGATCACTATATTTAAATATTATAGTCACATATAAAACATCTACAAAATTATATAATATTCATTATTGACTAGAGGTTTTTACTATATGAAAATATCTTATATTGAGGAGAAAAATAATAATCATTTTTCTGAAGTTTTTTATTTATCTAAGGATGCAAATATCATGAGTTGGATGACAAATAAAAAATGAAGAAAGATAAATACTCTAAGTATAAAATGTTAAAAACTCTACTTTTATAGGGTTTATTAAATAGTGTTTGATGCACAAAAATCTTAAATTTAAATATCTGAAACTCAGAAAAATATAAAAATAAATTTGAAATTACTTTATTATTTTTCATACAATGTTAAATTAAAACAATTTGTTGAATATTTTAAAATAACTGTATTTAAAAATATCAAAAAATTATTTTTTAATTTTAGTTTTAATCTGTTACGGAGAAATAAGTTATTAAGTCATGAATATAATAATTTAAGTAAGTATAGTTTTATTTTTATTTCTAACCTTTTCTAATAAAAACTTATGCAAGACTACTTAGGTGTGTAAATGTTATTATGGAATCATCCATTGTTTGACTTCTATATACATGTGGCTTTTCCAACCGGCAAAATGTGAATTTTAGTGGCAGTCATATTTTTAGTGAGAGATAGAGTTTTCTGATAGAATTTTCGGCATTTTGATTGCATGCAAGGTTGTGAGTTTCCCTTACAACAGCACCATTCACCACTTCTCACTGCCAAGAGCATAGAGTATCAGGCTTTGCAATTCAAGTGTTGGCTGTTTAATTTGTAGCTGGGTAGGGCTCCATTCTTGCTGAGCTCACGGTTATGGGGTTGGGGCGAGTGCTCTCCCTGTCCTTAATGCCATGCAATTTTCCACCACTTATCAACGCTAGAAAAAGTTTTTACAAACTCCCAGCTGAAAAAACACAGGAATCCACCAGTTTTGGCAAGAGCTCTTTGATGAGAGTTGTGCCCAAACTGCCATCCTTGCACACCAAAGTGATGTTATTGTCACAGGAACCTAAAAAGAAGATTTAATTGCCATTGCCAGGGATCATAAACCCGAGACCCGTGTTGTTTGTTACTCGCGCCAGACAGGGGTCGAACCTGTGACTTTCTGCTTAGGAAACAGACGCTCTATCCACTGAGCTACAGGCGCATTGACAAAGTTGTGAGGGGCTGGTAAACTCTAAGTCCACTATAGTCAATGTAGTGTTGAATGGCAACATTCTCATTTTAGTGTTAACGTGTCCAGCGAGAACTTCGCAAATCAATTATTCCTGGCAAGAAAACAACTTAATTTTGGACCTTTCTCCTCAAGCCAAAATAAATATGAATTCCATATCGATGGCTCTCTTATTACAGTGTTGGGGGCTACTACAACTCTCATCGTTTGGGGCATTTTCTTCCATGGATTTGTGAGTGGCGGCTCCTTCGGTGTTTTCCTCGACCCGGGATGCAACATCTCGGGGCCTCGGTTCGATCAAAAGGAGTGTGGCGAGTGTCACTCGTATCCAAGCTTGTTTGGCTACAGGTTTGATTGGGATGGCAAGCACGCCTTGCTCTTGTGGCCTGCTCCCACTTGCAACGCCTCTGACAAGCTCCACAAGACACGGTGGCCCCCCTCCTCTTGGTCGCCCTCTATACCTATCGTACAAAATCTTGTAGAGCAAGCACGTAATTATAGGGCTAAAGCTGTGTAGTTAAAGCAAAATATAAAATATGAGAAATAAAACTACTTTATAAAATAGAATTTAAAAGGTTAAGGATTTAAAATATGTAATAATACATCATGTTTATTTCATGTCAATATTTTAATTACCAACCTTTGAAAAGTGGGGAAGCTAACAACAAATGTGTGTGAAGTGGAAGATGCCTCCCATTTGTCTACAATACGTAAACACTGCATAACAAAGGACACATCGCAAGGCCATCTTCTGGAGCCACGCACTGCGCAGCCTCCACTCCCATGGCCAGGTTGCTGTGCGTTCTCGACGCACCAAGCAGCATCATCCAGCCCATGCTCTCCCTCTCCAGCCCCACAAACTGGATCACTTCTCTCGCCTCTGCCAGTCGCCCAGCCCGCGCCAGAAGATCAACCATGCACAGGTAGTGATCTTTGCTCGGCTCCACGGCGTAGTCCACAGCCATGGACACAAAGCTCGCCCAGCCTCTCTCCAGCGATCCCTCGTGACTGCACGCGTGTAGAACGCTCTGGAAGGTGACGGCGTCGGGAGAGACCCCGCACAGCTCCATCTCTCGGACGAGCTCGAGGGCTCTGGCGCTGTGGCCGTGGTGAGCAAACGCTGCCACCATCCCCGTCCACGAGAAAACGTCCCTGTTGTGGATCTTGGCGAAGCAGCTCCAAGCGTCTCGCAGGCTTCCACACCGGGCGTACAAGCTGAGTAGCGAGTTTTGCACGGCCACGTCCAGCTCCTCGGCCTTTCCCTCCAGGCTCGAGTGAATCTTCCTGCCTTCCAGTATGTTTCCGAGGCTCGAGCACGCACTCAGAACGCTCGTGTATGTGACGCTGTTGGGTTTGATCTCCTCGGAGAGCATCGTCTTGTAGAGCGCGAGAGCTTCTTCGCCACGGCCTGCTTGAGCGTATGACGCGATCATCGCGGTCCAGAAAACTACGTCTCGGCGTTCGTCCCTGCGGCTGCCAAACACCCTCTTCGCGGCTTCCAAGTTTCCACATGCGGCATACATGTTGAGCAGTGCTGTGTCCGTGACGACGTCCGTCTCAAATCCTTTCGTTGTGATCATAGCCTCGACTTTGCTGCCTGTTTCGATGTCCTTGATCTTCGAGCATGCCTTGAGAGCGTTGGCAAAGGTGACGTTGTTGGCCTCGACACCGGCTTCATGCATTCTCGCGTACAGCCTGAGAGCCTCGGTATCGCAGTCGTGATCGATATAGCCCACCATCATGAAGTTCCAAGGTATCACATCCTTCTTCCCCATCGCCTCGAAGACCTGGCAGGCGCTCTTCAAGCTTCGGCACTTGATATACAAGCTGAGAAGGGAGGTTTCCATTGTCATGTCGGTCTCAAGTCCACTGCTCACGATTCGAGAGTGAACCTTCTGCCCCTGGGCCAGGTCCTCCATAGCCGAGCAAGCGATGAGGACGTTGGTGTATGTCACAGCATTAGGCTCCACGTCCATAGCGTCGTATGCTTCGATAACTTGCTGGGGAGAACCACGCTCGGAGTAGGCCGAGAGCATAAAGTTCCAGCACAAAACGTCCCTCTTCTCGACACGATCGAACGCCTTCTTTGCATCTTCCAGGTTTCCGCACTTGACATACAATTGCACCAGAGCACTTCCCACCGCAACGTCGGTCTCAAGCCCCAAAGAAACTAGTCTTCCATGAACTTGTCTGCCCCGAATCACATCTCCACAGCCTGTGCATGCCCCTATAACTCCAACAAAAGTGACTGCGTTTGGCTCCACGGAGGTCTCTGACTCCATCAGCCTGTAGATCTCGATTGCCTCGCTGTGACGGCCGGACTGGTTGTACGCCGAAATCATAGTACTCCAGGAGATCACGTCCTTCCTCTCCAGCCGGTTGAAAACCTTTCTGGCTCCTTCTAAATCTCCACACTTCGCGTACACGTTGACGAGAGCGTTCTGGACTGGAACGTGTGACATATAACCGGATGCGAGGAGCCGCTGCTCCATAGCCCTGCAACCTGTAAGCGTCGAAGAACCCCTGGTGATGCTGGCATAAGTAGTGGCATTCGGCTTCACACCCTGTAAGTCCATCTCTCGGAGAAGCTTGTGTGACTGCCCGTTGTGAACAGATGCACCAGCCATTGCATTCCAAGTCACTATATCCTTCCGAGCCATGCTGTCGAAGACCGCTTTCGCATCTGCTGGACTACCACACTTGGCGTACATGTTGACAAGAGATGTCTGGAGAGATATGTCCCATTTGAACTCGCTGGCGGAGATGTAGGCGTGAACCTTCTTCCCGAATGGAAGCTCGTTCTGACAAGAGCACGCTCCCAGAACATGTAGACAGGTCACTGCGTTTGGACGGATTCCCTCACTTTCCATTCGTTCGAACAGCAAAAATGCCTCGTTGCGACGCCCATTCTGGGCATAGGCTCCAATCATCATACTCCACGAGTAAACGTTCTTCTGCTGCATGCCATCGAACACCTCGCGAGATTTCTGTGTGTTTCCAAACTTGCCATGTAGCTGAATGAGCCAGTTTCTGAAGTAAACGTTGTCTAAGTACCCGGTACCGGTAAACCTTGCATAAAGCACATCTAGCTCCCCTGAATCTTGGCACTGCTGCAAGAGTGTGAGACATTTTTGCTGTTGCTCTAACTTTCCACGATCAAACGGTGCCCCTGCTTTCGATTCGCGGAGAGTCCTCAACTTCCTGCAATGCATGAGATGCATTAGGTTAATGGAACTCAGACTGACAGACAATCAATAAAAACCTTGAAAGAAAACTCTTGCTCCCGTGAAAGTGAATTCAATGAGCTCTACCTCCATAAGAATTGCTGTAATCTTCTTCATCATCTGGAAACAGAGAAAGCAGAATAAGTTTCTCGTCACTGGCATTTCAAAGCAAACAAACCATTTCCATGTTCTGAGCTTCTTCCTTTGAGAGAGATGCCAGCTTCTGGCTCCAAGCTTGCAGCCCGTTCATGCCGCTGCCAGTGCTGTCCATGTCTAGGCTCTCCTCGAGGCGTGCTCTCTCAGCTACGAAATGCTGTCTGGCAGACTGAAACCAGTGCAGAGAATCGAATTGTTTGTCTTGGTCCAGAACCTGAAATCCAGTTTGATATTTGTAACTGTGTCAAAGATTACTAACCTTCAGAATATAGGCAATCCCAAGAGCAAATCCATCGTCGGTAAACGTTGCATTTACAGCATCTCTTCCGCGTTTATGAAGCTTCTCTTTTGACTGGAGTATTGCATCCGCCGCATTGATAGTCAGAGCAGGAACCAACAAGAAAAAATCTCGCAGATGTATGTTGTCATTGCCCTTAAGTTCCTGCTAGAGAACGTATGTATCATTCCACATAAACAAATATAGTGTTACCGAGAATATATTTGTAAGGATCGCGAAGTAATCAGTCTCGTTGACTGATAGGTTTTGGCTCTCTAAAGCCTTATCCAGTATCAGACCGGCATCAATGCCAGCTTTGGGCAAGAAAAATGTCTTGGCTGCTTCCTCAAATCCTTTAGTCATCGGCAGAGACCTGCCAAAAACAAAGGAAGTTATATTTCCATTGGACTACATTCTCTTACCCGCAAGCAGTAGTGCAATAATTCAATCCCCCTAGGCGAACCATCCTGACAAAGCCGAGCGCGTTTCCCATCTCCGCAATGAGACGTCGAAACTGGTCTAGAAAGCTGAATCCATCATCAGTAACTCCAAGTTTTCTGATATCTTTGTTCAGTTTCTCAGCTCTTTCCACTGGGTAGCCGCTGTCGGCTTGCAGTTTCTTTTCCTGAAATAAATAACATCTAGTTATTGAGCTTTGGAAAGCATCTTACCTTATAGAATCGTTGTTCCTTCACCATTCGAGACTTGATGTGATCATCAAATAAGAATTGTGAGAAAACCAGGAACTTCTGAGCGAGAAACTGATACGCGAAGTTCACAGTGGTGCTCATAATTCCAATGCCATGAGTCCGGATTGAATTTGCAGCGTGCTTCACGTTGACCGTGTTCAGATTTTTCCTGTTTCGTGCATTTGAAGGTCTCTCAACAAATACCTGTAGGAAGTTGTGAAATGCTAGGCTCGTTTTGAATCAAGGTCTACCTGAGTGTTGAGGTTGTAGGTATAACACGCTACGAATATATGTATGTTGCGCATTATTTCCAATACGTCCACCCCTTGCTCTAAAGTTTGACCAGGAAGATGAATTGCATCCAACGAAAGCCCATATTTAAGCTCCGCGATATTTTTCATTTCATTGTATGTCTGAAAAAACCAGGGCTGTAAATCAACCACTGAAAGTTGTAACAATACCTTCCAGTTGTGCAGCGCAACGGCCGCATGGTCATAAAATGCTGCATTCAGGTAGACTTCAACCCGAGACTTAATGTGAATGAACGAAGAGAGGAGGCGTAAAGGTTTGATTTTTAGAAACCAGGAGGGATCCCGAACTCCTGTCTGAAAGACATATAAGGAAGAGACAATTTTGTGCAGGAAACACACCTTTGTAGGATTTACATTCACTGCTCCTTTTAAATGAGCCGAGTGTACATGTAGCCTCAAATCCGTCTCTATATCGTGACAGATGGGTTCTACCACCTCCTGTTAAGCAAAACAGTGAGTTAGTATAAAAAGAGCATTCTCTCAATTACTGTAAGTAGGCAATCCCGTATCGACTTCTCGTACAATGAGGCATCAGCACATCCACACTGGAGTAGCTTGGCTCCGTCCAAAAATGCAGACACCAAGTACCTAATATGAAAAGCATGCCAAGTGAAGAAATGAATTCAAAAGTTGAAATCTTACTGCAAATGTCTGGCTTCGCCGGCTTGTGAATAAACCATAGCAAAGCAGGTTGCCATCATCTCTTTGTTCCAAAATAAGAAGCTACAGTCTGTGGCCATTTGAATTAAGCTTCCTCGATTCAAAGTCAGCTCTATGAGAGCAATATAGTCTTCAATTTCCTTGATACGCTCCTCCTGTAACTTGGTTTGCTGTTTAAAAGAACGAAAAGAAAAAGAAAAGAAGAGGAAGGGGGTCATCACAATGCATAATTTCAAATAACCTTCTGGAATTACCAAGCAAGTCACTACATCGAAGGCAAGGCGAAATGTAAACAATCCTTGAACTGTTGGTAAAAAATCCAGTGCTTTCATTGTAATATTCAGCTGTTTAAAATGATGCAGATTAGTCACGAGTTAGAATTGCAAAGCACTTACTGCACATAATGCATCCATGAGCTTAAGTTCTGGTTCCCTTGTTTCTTCATGCCAAAAAACACATTAGATTGGCCAGAAAACCACAGGTTAAGGTAACTTACTGCTCGGCGAACGGTTAAACATGTTTCCATTAGAAGTTTTTAGTTTTGAATTTAGATCCTCTGCCAGCCAAGACTGCAGCAAATTATCACGAGGAACAGAATTTATTTTGTTTATGTACCTTAAACTGCAATAGACGTTCCCTGACGACAGACATAAGATGGCCCACTATCTGGCCAACACTCAGCGCAACCTCCTGCCTCAGTTTGTTGAACATGTACTCAATTGCCTGAGAAATAAAACGCATTAAGTTTGAAGACATCCCCAAATGCTTACTTTGAGTAGTTCCATTCCGTAACGCAATTGTCTCACTTGCTCCTTGCTTATCGGCACCTTGAATACAATATCTAAGAACTTTGTAACCACAGCCTTTAAACGTACCTCGAGAAGAACATGCAGATCGATTGCAGATCTTAGAAACTTTTGAAGCTTGTTTGCAAGCAGAATCCCCTGTAAAACCTTCAGGCATCAGAGGAAACCTCTTGGTAACGTACCAGGGTTGCTTGTTGCAAATGCCTATCCAGTAGAGACTGACTAGAAAGATTCTGCGCCTACCTTAAAAGTAAAACGTCAGATCGGAGACGACGACGAGAGGTCACTTACAGGTGATGAAGCTGCCAACGTGCTAAATGAAACCAGCCAATCACAGATTGAACGATGTGTTTCATGAGAATCTCTAGAACGAATGTGCATATTAGAAATTCAAATATCAGTAGAACGAAAGCCTTACTTGATCAGAGCTTCGTCCAAACGGGTAAGGTAGCTACGCTTCAAGATCGCAGCATCCCTTCGCACGTCCCTGAACAAGGTTGAGGCGCGAAACCAAGACGGAGAGTGTGCACTTAAAAACTCGATCGAGAGAAACCTCACGTTTGAGACCGGATGCAGTACGGGAAAATTTGCAGCTAGTTTCGAGATCATTTTCAGCGTCTTCTTGTCACTAGCTTCTCCTGGTAGAGACAAATACTATCAAGGAGATGAAAAAGGAGTTCCTACAGCATACCACTGATCCATGAATAGAGCACAAAAACTCCCAAAAGCCCCACGAGCTTCTCACGGTCGTCAGGTTGCTCCTTGGAGGTTTCTAAAACAAAAGTTCCATTAGGACCATCTACACTCGTAGAAAAGCTCGTACCGATGGCATTTAAGACTTTGACAATGGCCGTCCTTAAGCCGAAGGATACCTCTTCAAGAAACAAAGCATTGTCTTTGAGTTCTTCCTTTTCTAATTGCAGAGAAAAATCCTCGTGTATGCATCTCTGGGCCACAAACATATTAGTTCTACTCATCATCACTGCCAAAACGCAAAAACAAAAACCTGAAAGAGGCCGGTCACGAGCAGATCGTCCATCTCACTCACAGCACGATGGAGAGACTCGATCTGATTAGCTTCCACGTCGAAAGAATCTGGTTCAGCTCTCACAGACTGCAACATTCTAAGAAAGTTATTAGATAGAAATCTCACATTGCGAGCAAAGAACACACATACATACCTTGTAAACAGGGACAGGGAATGGCCAATAGCTCCATTATGCGAAACAATCTCGTCCAGTATCATCAAAATTCCAAGACCTTCGCCGAGGGAGCTGATCGCTGTGTGGAAGTGCACACTCGAGAGAGTCGAGAACGTTTGCTTCTTTCTCGAGAGTGGAGAGTAGAGTGCTTGCAACTGGCGAAAGAGATTCCCCAGCAACCCTCTCAATCCCACGATCGAAGTTTTAAGCTCGTGGAAGAATCCATACCACCTTGCGAATGCCAGTTGGACGCTTCCCTCGAGAGAAGCCTTGTCAGAATCGCCAAATACGAGCAGCCGGGGATAGATCTTTTCCAGCGCCTGCAAAATTTCGATCAATATCGGAGCTCTGGGACCAGATTTTGCCTACCTCTCGCCTAAATCGCGAGATTTCCACGCAATCGAAGGCCAGCGGCATGAGAACCTTGTTGACAGTGGCATTGTCGCTGACGATCATCTTTGGAAGCGAAACCCCAGATTCGCAAAGAGTGAGCGCCAAACCAATAGGATCCGCATTGCAAGGAGAGGCGGCTCCTCCCAGCTTCCAGACCTGATCCCTCCACTCATCCACAAAGCGCCGCAATCGCTCCTGCTGCTCGTAGGCAATGGCGCCATCCTCCATAGCCGAAACTTAAAACCCTAGCCAACGAATATCCGTGTGATTTAAAACTTTTCATCCTTGCAAGAAAGAATATTCACGAGAATCATTTGCCACCTTGCATGGAAAGAGAGTAGAAGTTATTGTCTCGACATCCAACGAATATTTGTCCTCCAAGAACCATGGGTGTTGAAAATACGTCCCCGGGCAGCTTAAATTTTCCTATCACAGCAACACAGCCAGGAACTTGTGATTTGGGCTCGCCCAAGGAATGGTCGCATGAAACCATCGCTGGAGCTTTGAGAACGTAGAGATTTCCAGAGGTAGTACACACGCACAAAAGCCTGGACGAAGAGAACCAAGAGCGTGTTATTAGACAGCATTTCTTTGTTTCACCTGTAAGCGTTGTCTTCCTCGACTAGTTGAATGGCTTCATCGATCCACGGTCCGGCTACTATTGGTTCTTCCAGGCAGATTTTCCATAGAAGCTTGCCAGAAATCTGTCACACAAATCCGTGAGAAACAATGCAATGGACTATCCCTTCGTTTTACCTGGCAGTATGAGTAAACATGCCCGTCCCGAGAACATACGAGAACCTGACAGCAAGAAACTTAGGAGTGGCCAAAAACAGTCCAATTTACTTGGTGAAAGATTGCCGAGGAGGTGTATACACCAGAGAACACTGGACCAAGTGTGTTCACCTGGAAGTTGGAACGGGAGGCTTGAAAGGTGAAACAAAATTATGAGCAAACCTTCCAAGCAATGTCACCAGTAGAAGAAAACGCGGTTACAGAACCATCAACAGCAGCAACGAGAACTGCAAAAGTGTGTAAGTGAGGAACAGGAGCACAAGCGAGTCAATACCGTTTCCGGTGGAAGAATCTACGTTGGGGGACGCAAAAATAGGTGCCCCTACATCGCGTTCCCAGGATAAACCATAGTTTGGCTGAAACATCGTAGAGATAGGCCAGTCAGCCTACAAAGCTATTAGAATACCTGCGTGCAAATGAGATACAGCCGACCACCAGTTGTAGCAATGTAGACATTCTTCCGCAACTACAAGGAAAAACATTAATCTCTGGCTGAACAATAGGAAACGCCAATCGACTTACTGCATCAGTTGCTGGAGATCCAAAAATGCTCCCATGACACAAATACCTCCATATGCACGTACGAGAAATAGGATCCAGAACATACACAATATGGTCATGCGAACCACACCTGCAGGAAACTCTCAGAGTCTCATACGCTGCTTAATGGCAGCTTACCAGATGTATCCTTCCCAAGTATCAACAACTGGTTGGCATTTTACCTGCGACGTAAATTTGATGCGAAACTAAAGTTCCCAGAATAAACATTACCTCGCCATCTGTTTGAAATCTCCACATGACCCTTCCGTCGTCTGGATCCAGAAAATACACAAAGCCATCGTAACAGCCAACAACAACCTGGAATGTTCACGTTAATTAAGAGATGGAAAGTAAAAGAAGGAAAACTAGTCTGAACCTGTGAAAAGTCGCCTGTCACAGCAGCTGTAGACTCGACCCGACCTCCCAGACTTGTCTCCCATATTTGTTCCCCACTGCATTAGTTCGACGTTAGATGAAAACCACGTAAAAGGTCCTAAAGGTACCTGATAGCATCGATACAGAAAAACTTCCAAGCATGAGAGCCAATGTAGAGCCGATAGCCTGAAGTTGTAGTCAACAATAAAGGCGACGCATCAACACAAGCGTGCAAGCATTTCCCCCATGTAACTTGAATTTCCCGAGAGCCTGAAGTACCAAGGTTGCATTTTGTTGTTACTACCTGGTTATACTGGTTGTGTCGAACGAAAACGGAGGGCGTAGGTACCGAAATATGACGAGGCCAAGATGGACGAGGCGAAACATAAGTATGAACAGTCTTGAGTCTCTTTGGGCCGTAGCAAGAGCAGGTTACTTCTTCACGGCTACCGCCTCTTCTTACCTCAACCTTGTCATCATCCACACGTTGAGCACTCTGCATGGCGTCATAAAGTTCGAGAGCCGTCCGGAACTTGAAGAGCAGACGCATGTCAATACCGAGTAAGTGAGCGGCATGGGCTGCAGAAACCGACGTTCCTCCGGACAAGAAAAAATCGTCTGAAGGAGAAATGCTGTCAGAAAGTAACACTTCTGAAAAACTCTGCAGGTCCACGAAAAACAGTTGGAACATGGAAAATAAGAATTCTATTTACCTGTATGACCCTTTGAACAGATTCCGAAGCAAATGATTGTAATTTTCCATGAGAAGCAACGGTGTTACTCAGCTTCTGAATGGCGGAATAGTCAACCTTTCCAGAGCTCGTCAGTGGGAAGGCATCGACGAAAATATAACGCTCGGGAACCATATACGACGGGAGTCTTTTCGTCAGCCATTCCCTGAGGTTATCCTCTTTATGATTGTCGTCGTTTGCCTTCAAGATGACACAAGCTGCTAGTTGGATGTCATCGCTTGCAAGACGAAGAGGGTACACGGCTGATTTCTTTACCTGCTGATTTTCCTCTAGACACCTTTCGACTTCTTCAGGTTCCACTCGTTGGCCGTGGACTTGAAAAAGCCTGTCCGTCCGCCCGACCAAAATGATGTCTCCGTTTTCTAATCTCCTTGCCAAATCTCCGGTTCTGAAAGCCTTTTTCTTTTCGGACTCGAAAAATCGGAGAGAAGTGCCGCTTTCATCGTTCCAGTATCCGTGCGAAACACCTGCACCACTGATACACAATTCTCCGAAGTTGACATCGGCTCCATCGACTGGTTGGATATGAATGAAGCAACCTGTAATAGGCGTCCCAATAGGAACATTCGTTTCGCTAAACATATCGCTCAACTCGTTGCAGTCGAAACAAGAGCAGTCACCAGACACCTGAAAAAGTAAATTTGCTTAGCATCCCAAGAGTGTAGAAGTGTTTTACCTCTGTGCTGCCATACAGGTTTAAAACCCGTATCCATGGTAGACTCTTGCGAAGTTCAAGCACCAGCCTGTATGACAGTGCCTCTCCGCTTGATACGAGAAGACACAGCCTCATACTTCCAGAGCTAGAAGCTTGAAAAGCAGGCAAAAGTGCGCGTAGCAACGATGGAACGGCAACCAGTCTTGTCACGCTGAAAGCCTGCAAGCTTTAAAACAACAATTAAAAGGATAAGAAACGAAAACTCACACGCACTTGCAAATAGTTTAGCAGTCCAAGAGGATTTCGCTTGATATCCCGCTCGCAAGGAATGACGAGTGACGCCCCGGCAAAGAGCGGACCAAGAGACTCCGTCAAGTGATCGATGAAACCAATCGCAGTCTTAAACAAGCCAACGTCCGATGAAGAATGCGGATATGAGTCCTCCATCCACTGAAGACGATTGAGCAATCCTAGTTAGAACAGAAACTTTAAAAATCCGGACTACTGCGCAAACAAGCTTACCAGTATCAGTGCCGCACACGCCTTTGGGCTTTCCCGTGGATCCAGACGTGTACATGATGTAAGAAAATGGTGGTCTAGAGCACGGCCAAGTAGTGCTCTTCGTCCTCTCCTCCACCTCCAGTTTTCCCAGATCACCAATGCGAAGCTCACGACAAGGTAGACTCTGTGAAACTTCACTGAAATGGTTCTGGTAGTCATCCGGCAACCATGGCGACTGATCGCATCCTACTATCAACGAAGCCTTCGAATCTACCATGACCTCGGTAATCCTCGAAAGTGGCCACGAAGAATCGAGAGGTACAAACACCGCTGCTGCCTTGTTCACGGCCAGAATCGCCACCAGATACTCGGCCGATCGAGGAATCATCACTCCAACAGTGCTCACGCCTGAATCAGGGTCCTTGGAGCCAGCGGCATCGAGAGCGCTTGCAATCTGGCGACTATAACACTTGACAGAGCTCCAAATCTCCCAGAATGTGTAGCGCCGATCAATACCACCATCACCCCCGGCGTGGATTACACAAACCTGGCCTGGAAATCTCGCCGCCACGGCGCGGAAGGAATGCGCCAAAGAAGAGCCCTCCTCCATGACTGCTAAACCCTAAAGAATGACTCGATAGATAGAAGATATATATTTACTTGAAATGCTAGAACAAGAGTTAAGATCTTATCATCGACCACATCACGCCCTCTCGCCTCTGATCCGGCGAGCAAGCTGGATGTCCTTGGGCATAATCGTCACCCTCTTGGCGTGGATCGCGCAAAGATTGGTGTCCTCAAACAGACCAACGAGATACGCCTCGGCCGCCTCTTGGAGCGCCATCACCGCCGAGCTCTGGAACCGAAGATCCGTCTTGAAATCCTGCGCGATCTCCCTCACCAGCCGCTGGAATGGCAGCTTCCGGATGAGCAGCTCCGTGCTCTTCTGGTACTTCCGGATCTCGCGAAGCGCGACGGTGCCCGGACGATACCTGTGGGGCTTCTTCACGCCTCCGGTCGCTGGCGCCGACTTCCTGGCGGCCTTGGTGGCAAGCTGCTTGCGCGGAGCCTTGCCACCGGTAGATTTGCGAGCAGTCTGCTTGGTGCGCGCCATCCCACTTCCTGATCTATCTGCTAACACTCTCCAATCGATTCCAAATAGCAAGGAGCGAGCGAAGAACCCTAGCTGGAAGCGGCTGAGCGCGGCAAATTTAAATGCGGAGCTTGGGCGGGAGGATCGTCGTCCAACGGCCCAGATTGTCGATCCGCGTCCTTGCATTTGATTGGTTTTCTTAAAATATGCTATCCATAAATGATGGGAACTATAGTAGGCTTCGACATTGTTATAAGAGATCTCGGGCTACTACAATTCTCATCGTTATGGTTATGGAATTTATATGTTGGCTGGAGGAGGAAGGTCCAAATTTAGCTTTGTTGTTTTGAATCGTCCAGGAATTGATTCGCTAGGAGAGGTTCCAGTCAACAGTACATTGACTAGAGTGGACTAAGAGTTGACCGGGCCAGTACGACTTCGTGAAATGCGCCTGTAGCTCAGTGGATAGAGCGTCTGTTTCCTAAGCAGAAAGTCACAGGTTCGACCCCTGTCTGGCGCGAGTAACAGACAACTCCTTATGGTTCACAGCAATCTAAATTTCTCTGTTTCGTTACAAAATGAAAAAGAAGATATAGATATATGCCAAAGACCATGTGTTTGTTTTTGTTTTCTTTCATTTATAAGAAAGAAAGAAGAGTTAATAGTTACACATTATGCCATACCGGATTTCTGGACATGGTAGTAGAGCAGGTAAGTAACTAGACCCAGCATCCACTCCGTAGATATTTACAAAAATTGCTTTGTTTCTGTTACATTTCTAGGAGATTATATCACAGTTCCATCCTTTACTATCGAGTTCTTCACGACAACAGTGATTCCAGAACGTATGTAGATTCCTTCGGATGGTCTCTCAGCCTCTTGCACACCCTGGTTGACCCACAGTGGTTGATGAGAGCTCATGAAAAAGGAATCGAGAAAAACAAACTTACATCTGTGTTTGTGATAATGACATGGCTGCCGATCCTTGCGTTCTTATCAACCAAGCAGTTCCTGAGATCGAGAAAAAGGCATTATTTAGCTTCAGTGACTATAATAACTTGTCATCCATGATTTACCTCATTGTTGTGTGCTCGCCCACACCAAGTGGAACTTTGCCCTGTGCTCTCAGTGCAGCAATCTCGGCCTCAGTTTCATAGGAATCAGCTCCCATTATGATGGTATCCTGTTTCAAAAAATTTAAGCAGTTCTACCTTTACCACTGTCTTGGGTATGATGGAAAGGACAAACCTTAAGCTCTACACCAGACTCTAGCCTGGAACGGACGCCAATGAGTGAATGCTCCACACTGCAGGACTTTAGAAAGCAGCCGTGCGATACGATAGAATCTATAATCTGCACCGGCGACAAATCATGGTCAAGAATTTTTCTTCATGAGGCAGCCCGACTCTTACCCTGCATTTCTCCATCTTTGTTGGAGGCAAAAACCGCGGAGATGTGAAAATGGGATTGGAAGCATCGTAAAAGCTGAACTTTGGTGGCTGCAAAGAGATTTTTTTTTTGTATGAGTAAGTGTTTAACTGCGAAGTTCCAACTCCAAAGGCATTACCTGAGCAGTGAGAGCGAGATTAGCGTCAAAAAACGACTTAATAGTTCCAATGTCTTCCCAGTAGTCATTGAAGAGATACGCCTGCAATATCAAGTTTTAGGCGTAGAATGCAAGACAAAGCACACAAACTTCCCACCTGAACATTGTACTCGCTCGCTGCAGCGGGAATGATCTCCGAGCCAAAGTCATTAGAGGTAGGATACCGCCATCTAACAATGATTTAACAAACCGGAAAAAAATAGGTAAAATAAACCAATAAATTTGGAAGACTGATATCACCTGAGGAGTTTGAGGAGTACGTCTTTGCGAAACACGTAAATTCCCATGGATGCAATGTATGGCATCTTTTTCGCCTCCTCCCGTGAAAGACCCAACGCAGTTGTGTCAACTTGCTGTTGAACACGAAAAGAAAAAAAGTAAAAAGCACTTTCATGAGAAAGTGAAACAACTGAACCTCTTTCTGAAAAGCTTACCATTGCTTTCAGATCCATGCCTTTGGGCTTCTCGCTAAACGAGATGATCCGGCCCCTCGCGTCAGTCTTAACGAGCCCGAAATCCGATGCCCGGCTAAACAAAAAAATGAAAAAAAGAAAACAAGAAACGAATCGTCAAGTGCTCAGCAGAATGCCAGAAACAATTGAATAAAGTACGACAAAGATACTGTGAGAAACGACACCAAGTGTTCGCCGGAGCGGGCCACAGCTGTCCCCGCTAGCATTTTAACCTCTAGTGGTTCACTTGCATGGGAATTCTAAAAGGTGCTCACCTCTCGTCCACAGGAACACATGAGATGGTGATGTCTGCACCAGAGTCCTTGTGCTTCTGCGGGAGCAACGCCAGCCACCATACGACTGACATAAGTCACACGCCACACAAACTGCGCGCAAGAAAACATACCTGGACAAAGTCCATGTAGTCCATGCGGTAGAGGTGATCACCGGAGAGAACAAGCACGTAGTCGACGTCCTTGTTTCTCACATCCTTGTCATACAAAACGAAACCTCAGCATACGAGCCCAACACCTTGGAAATGGTAAAGAGTACCTCGAAAAGCCAAGTGAACTGCCTTACGGCGTCTGCGGTCCCTTGAAACCAATTCATACCAGACTCCCCTGGGGTTTGCGTTGCTGCCAGTACCTACATCAATCACACGCACAAAGATCTGAGACCAAACACTCCGTATAACAGATATTTCTAGCTCTTTCATTTCCTCCACCTCAACAAAGCCATCCCCAGCATTGATGAAGTTGTAGGTGCGAGCGAGGTGGCGGTTGAGCGACGCCGAGTTGAACTGCGTGAGTACGAAAACTCGGTTGATCCCGCTGTTGATGCAGTTGCTCATTGGAACATCGATCAAGCGGTAGCCACCGCCAATTGGCACCTTGAGGAACAAAGTGTGTGACGAGGAGTTAATACACACACGAGAAAGGAGAGGAAGAAAAGGTGTAGCTCTCGATCATACCGCAGGCTTTGCCCTTTGCTTTGTGAGGGGAAACAATCGCGTTCCAACGCCGCCTCCCAGGATGATGGAGACGACCGACTTGGGATCCACGCGCGGGGTCTCAAACACCGAGAATGGTAGCTCGACTTGCTGGAAATCAATCAAACAAGAGGAATCGATGCTTCCATAGGAGAAGAGGCTATACAAACTCACCTTTGCTTCGCGCGGGGGATAATCCACTAGAACAGCGGACGACAGAGCGGCATTCCCTCCTTTCTGGGCCGCCTGGCATTTGGCGATCCTCGGCTTGGATTTCTCGGGGATCTTCTTGAGATGGAGAGCTGCCCCGAATAAATCGCGCTTGGCGAGCGACGAGCTGGCTGATTTGCAGGCATGCAGGTAGTCTTTCCTGCCCCCCGCACTGACCGATCCCATTGGACTGGAAGAAATCGCGGCGTTGGCCATGGATGATCTCCTCGAGCGAAATATCGATCAAGAACCCCCTGGCACGTTCCTCTGTTCCTCGCGAAGATCGAGACAAATAGCGCTCGCGTTGTCACCTCCTCACGGGCTGGGATGTCTGTAACACGAGGAAGGAAAAAAGAAAGCCGGGAGCCGCTCGCTGCTTGACACACAAGGCGCTACAGGACGAGATCACCGACACACCCTGCGCCTGGCACGCCGATCAATCCCTAAGCGAGAAAATATTTCGCTTTCGATCAGCAGCGGCATTGATCCATCGCTGGATCGCAAAGGATTTCTAGCGAATCGAGGAGGGGGGGAGAGAAGCCGGCTCTCGATCGATCGAGGAGTCGAAAATGGGGAGAGCGTTTGCTAGAAATCGTATAAGTAACACTGGCGCTCACCGCCAAAACGCAAGAAAAACAAAAAACCTAGCGCTCGTTCGTGATACGTCGCGGGTTCACATCCCACGCACATTTCTTCCACTTGCGAGAACATTCGGTGGCATATGCTGTCCCCGTTGTACGCGATTGGACGTACTTTCACTAGTTGGTAGGGGTTTTTCAGTCACATTTCCTTGATATTTTCCATGGAATCTCACAATGTGTGGTCTCTAAGCCCTAACCAATTGTGGCGCAACACTGTCACCCTCATCCCGTGCGTGTGGGCCTCTCTTTTTTGCCCTAGAACACTGCTAAATGAAAAAGAGAGCTACCTTTCAAACAAATTACATTTTCAACCCCGTTTTACTTCCCGGTGGACGATGCCTATTGGTCGCGATTTGCCATCTTGTTGGTTGTTGTCATGCTTGGATTTGATCACGAGGACCTATAGATAATAATATTGTTTACTCAAACAACCTTAATACGTGATCTCATCTCGCAATCACACAATGAGAATAGTTTATATTATGGCCTTTAGCGCAGGGATCGCTTTCAGGATCATATGAATTCACGTCGGATCCACGCCAGGTGTCGCAATACGATTGAATAGCATACTTTTCGTGCCTGCAATACAGTATTATACGTAAGATCTTTCCTGAAGAAGCATCGGGCCTCGCAGCACGTTCTGCATGGAGTTTCTTTTCTTGCCACCTTTTTCCCTCTAGCTCACGGGCGTGCACGGGCGACGTGGCAACACCTTCGCCGACCACGTGTCTGGGCAATCCATTGACGTGGACGCTGCCAACTGTCAGACGGTTTGCTAGATTGCTGGTCCCACCCGAAAGAGACATACAGGCCTATGATTCGCCCCCCTGAGATCCACATTCTCTAGCCGCGAAGATTCGAGCATTGGAAAGAATATACACCACAATATCTGGGTATATTCGAATGATTATTGAATCTTCTAATATTCCCCAACGGGATCGCGCCAAGTGGCGTAGCCCTAGCCGTCCGTTTTGGTATAAAAGGGCGGCGACCCATGCGTACGACTGTACGTCATTGCTAAAACGAGTTGCTATGAAGCTCCCCTGGAATTTTGAGTGGCCCGGCTAGGTTTTCCAGGAGAGCGCGCAGGCATTTCGATCGATCGATCGATCGATCTCACCGGCGATTGGCGCACACGCGTTGGATCGAATTGATCGTCGTGGCGTGATTAGGTGATCTCGCGTGAATTTTCTAGCCTAGTTTTTGCTTTGAGATGCATGTGAAACTGGAGGTCTTGTTTTGTCCTGTTCGTAGAGGTCCCAGGGAACAGCTGTGTGATGTGAGCTCCTCTACCAAAAATTTCTCCCAGGATCCATTGTGTTCCTCCTTGCGCATTAATTGCCTAAAGCGCTAGATCTTCTCTTCTCGGCCAATTCATTCCCAAGACATAGCTGGCAGTCCCTCATTGCGTACGCATTTGGGGCTTGATCTTCGGCGTGGCCAAGTCATTGAGCTTTTTGGTTGCTTTTCTTTTCTTCCAGTGGATAGTGGATTGCAACTATAGCAGGAGTTAAGGTATCATGGTCCACTTTGGACATTATATCTTGGCGAACAGAATTCCAGAATGGGAAAGGTAAGATCACAGGAATGTCGAGGGAATGTCAACTCTAAAAATTTATGATCTTCTTGATGTTCCAGTCACTACATTGGCTACAAGGCTCTGAAGAAGAGGATAAACGAGTATGCATCTCGCGCGTCTCATGCTTCCTCGGAGGAAAGAGAGCAAATAATAAGCTCTTTTGCGCAACTTCTCGACTCACAGGTACCAAGTTGAGCTAGTTCTTTGCAAAGCTTGTGATTTTGGCACTCCTGTTTGGAAAGGTGGAGCGAATTGTGCTGTTTCTCATGGAGAAGCAAGGACTTCTCGCAGAAAAGCTGCTGAAGCTGGCCGAGAAGCAGGAAAAATCCCTTGCCGCCATGGAAATTGACGTGGAGGCTGCGACAAGCTATCACCTAATTGAGGAATACAGGCAAGAACATCTGTCACTTGAATTCACTGTGTAAACTCCGTGTAAACAACGCAGAGCTATTGGACAAGAGCTTCTCAAGCTTTTGAACTTTGTGGAGATGAACACCACTGGCCTCAGGAAGATACTTAAAAAATTTGACAAGCGCGTTGGCTTTCGTTTCAGAGAACAATATCTGGCTTCCCGAATAAACCACCCTTATTCTCAACTACAACAAGTCTTCAAACAAGTGGTAAGTGTTCTACATTTTCTTCTGTTTCGTTGTTTTTCCTTCTCTCTCTGGTATTTATTCTTTACAAGCTTGCAGGGTATTGGAGCTCTAATGGGAACTATAGCTCAAAATCTTGCTCAGCTGAGCTCCGGGCACAGTCACAGACAGAGTTACTTCTCTCTCTTTAGAAAGTCATCTCTTCCTATCGAGCATGAGCCTATAATCAAGGTCTGTATTGTCTCATCCCAAAACATGGAAATATAACACTACGTATTGAACAGGCTCTCGAAGGAGCACTACACAGGCTTACAAAAGAAGTGACTTTTATGTCCTTCGTTGCAAACGACCTGCTCTTACCTGAACCGTCTGACCATGCTTTAGAAACTGCCGATGAGCGAGAGTTCCATTTTATGTCCGTCCAGCTCAACCTATGGAATACTTTCCTCTACATGGTACTGAGATTGCCACATCCATGCTCTAAAAGTTCTAATCGTGGATCTTGTACCAGGCAAACTACTACATTGTAGTTCCCACTTCAGATGATTATGCCGAAACTTTACACGTTCCTGGAACCATGAACGGGGTGATTATTGGAGCCATGCCACTGGCAGCACTTGTGTCTGCACTGGTTTATAGCTGGTGGTCGAACTTCTCTTACAGAGCTCCACTGTTTATAAGTACGCTGCTCTTGATGGCGGGCAATCTCATGTACGCGCTGGCGTTGCCCTTCCACTCGTTCTGGTTTTTGGTCATAGGACGTGCCTTGAGCGGGTAAACTTGCTTGCGACATTTTAATGTTTTCATATTTTTTTACGTGCTCGAGCCTTGTGTAACAGGCTGGGAGGTGCAAGGGCGATCAACCGGCGATATCTTATGGATCATGTTCCTGTTAAGCACCTTACAAACGTATCAGCGTCGTTTGTTATCGCTAGCTCGCTAGGAATGGCGGCTGGCCCTGCACTTGCAAGCCTCCTCATCAAGCTAGACTTCCAGGTAAGCTGAAAGCATATCGATAGTTTATGAATGACTTCAACCTTTGAAACAGATGCTAGGCTTTCCAGTGAACCAATTCACAGCTCCTGGATGGGTGATGTTACTTCTTTGGGGAATATATCTGATTGTTTCACTCTTTGCATTCAAAGAACCAAAGCGGCTGAGCGTCAACCATGACACAGAAAACCAGGTTCACAGTGCTTTTGTAGATGATGGTTCGGATTCTGGCTCTGGTATCACTGACCCTTTATTGGGAGAAGAAACGGTTCCGGCCAAAGGCAGGAAACCTGCTGGAACTATTTCAGAACTCTTCAGGGCGATAAATACACCAGTGCAGATCTTGCTCTTGGTGTATTTTATGCTCAAGTTTGCCGTGGAAATGTTGGTATCCGAATCTGGGATTATCTCCGAGTTTTACTTCCAGTGGAGCTCTTCACAGGTATGCAAACATTTGCAGATTTTTTAATATGCACATATATTTTGATCAGGTGGGATACTTCTTAGGAGCACTTGGATTGGCTGTGCTTCCAATTTGTGCAGTGGTTGCTAACTATATCAGCAACACATTCGCGGATAGGTAGTAACACCTCTTTTTTTTTCTCACTTTTCTACGTTTTTTTCTTGTAGGGTCGTAATTTTTTGGACAGAGATTCTAATTGCATTAGGAGTCATTGCAAACATCTGCTATTATCCATTATTCAGATATACCACAGTGCAATATGTTGCTTCGGCTATTGTAATTTTCCTTTCAACAAATGTGCTTGAAGGTTAGTCTTGGATTTCCTGGAGCTTTTATCTCACTTGGAAAAAGTTTCAGGGGTTAACATGTCACTTCTTTCCAAAGTAATGCCGTCGCGTCTATCTAGAGGAGTTTTCAATTGTGGATTTCTTTCCACTGAAGCTGGGACACTAGCTAGAGCATTATCTGATGGATTAATATCTTTGGCTGGTAAAGCAGGAATGGAGTACCTTCTTATTGTTACTATGATTCCAACTCTAGTGCTTGTCTTGGCAACAATTGCCTGCACCTGGATTGGGTATTATACACTCTATTAACCCATAAATATTTGCACTCTATTTTGAGTTTAAGAAATTGCATTTTGCTGTATAAAATACTGTATTAAACAATTTGAGCAATTAGGCCTTTAATTTGTATTTCTAGTTATAACATATGCTCTATGTTCAGATTTTCAGGTTTGCCTCGGTCACCTATACAAGGATTAAAATCTGCATAAATATATTTGTGGAAATTTTCTTCGGGCAATTTTCCCCAGTCTTGCATATATTTCATGTTTTTCTATTGCTAACTAAATATATAGCTTTTTTCGTCGGCAATGTATTTTACAAAACTATGAATTCATTTGTAACTAATAAATACTTTTTTCAGCTTTTTCCCTTAATATTTTATCTTGAGCGTTCTATCAGCAAACATATTGCTAATACCATCTCCATACCTGCGAGTCTCAAAGGCTCTAATCAGGTCAAAACTTCGCAGATGCTGTGTGGGCGAGAGGCTGGGATCTGGCTGCTAAGTCCAAGTCGCTTATGAGGTATGCTGGGAAATTGGTCATGCCCAAGCTCCCTTTGACAAGGATTTTGTAGCGAGGAGGTGATCAAGACGCTGGTGGAGACACTGAAGAGGGATGTCGTCTCGATCTCACGCCGAGACCATCTTTGAAAAACTTGGCCATAGACTTGTGGGGACTGGGGACCGTAAGAAAAAAGGAACATCACATGAACAGCAGTTTGGAACTTTCAGGTCGCTTGTTTGTCCTTCCTTTCTCATCTGGACTTTGAAAAACTTTTGGTGTCCCAGAAAATGACATGGATATAAAAGCATTCAAATATGAAACTTGTGCCCACACATTGGGCAGTCTAGTCTTCATCTCAACGTCACCTTTGAGGAGACAAGTTTTCTGCTTCCAAAGGCAACATCCCTTTAAGCTATTAAAAATGTCATTTAAATAAGTGCTGAAAATTACCAGTTAATATGAGATCGCAATCACTCATTGTTTACAATTGCGACCGACGAATTATAGCACCCAATCTCTCACGTGGAGGCCACATGTGCTCCTTGGCCTTATGTGCACAAGATAACCCACGAGACACACGCCTTTTCATTTGTGTAGACATTGCAATATGTAAAATAAAAGTAATTTGTCTTAAAATTAATCAGAAATATACTTTATATAGGCCTTTGGTGTTGCAATCTCTCGTCATATCTCCTTGGACTTTAGTCTTATTGTTGAGCATCCAGGGAGTATAAATTGCCAAACCCCACAAAGCCCGAGAGGTTGTTGCAAAGAGCTGCTCGCTCATGTCCAAAACGTCCACCGGGCCAAGGCTCGCTTGCAAGTCTGCAAGAGAGGCACCAATGTCTTGTATCAGCATGTTGACACCTTCCACTAGTACCGGCTCGAGCTTCGATCGAAAAGCCACCACGTCATGCAGGAGGTCATGGCGCAGGATGTCCCTCTCCGCCTTACCAGAGTTCTCTGTTCCATTCCAGAAACATTAGGGCAGGGTGCCATTCCTCCCGCTCCTTTTCAAGGTGGAATCCAAAGTTTCCCCCGGTCTGTCCCGTTATGGTAAATTAGAATGCTCATGCTCAATTATCTCAAGGAGCTCCTAAAGTTTTCTTCATGCTCCAGGTATTGCTGCCATTGGGATGAGGAATGTAACCGCTTGAGTGAGCGTGACAACTATCAGTTCTCTGATCTTTCAATTTTGAAGTTCGTTAATATTGCAAGAATCATGAAAATCTGGTAAGTTTTTCTTTAAAATGAGAGCTTGTGAGATTCGTTTTTCTGGTTCTTGGATGCAAGGTGCTTGAGGGCGAGCAGGAGTTCATGTTGCTACTTTTGCAAAAACAAAAGATGCCGAATGCACTGCCCGGGAATCGAACCCGGGTCTGTACCGTGGCAGGGTACTATTCTACCACTAGACCAGCAGTGCTTAATTGATATTAACACTAAATTGTTTCCGAGCCTTGAGGGATATTATTTCCATCGTTGGTCGAGCCAAAGGCAAGGGGGCGGAGCACGCTCGGAAGCAGTCCTCCAGGTCAGTGAGATCGCTTGCGCATCGCATCGAGCTCATTCCCCATCGCAATGAGCGAGCGCATTGTGAGATCTTTGATGCAGGCCGTGGTGACCGTTGACCTTGGCAAGCTCGTCGAGACGCTGCTGGATCTCGCTTACAGCGCCCAGCATTGCAGGGAAAAATCCAAGACGCTGGCACTCAAGGTGGAGCTCCTCAGCGAGTCCATTGCGGAGCTCATCGAGAAGAGGGAGCACTTTACTCGAGAAAACTTTGGAACACACGTTAGAAGGCTCGAGGTAAGATCCTGTTGTTCTTCCAAGATTTAAATGTTTTCTCTTCCCAGGTGGTGTTTAACGATGCTATCTATCTTCTCCGGAAGTATAGAAACGGTAGCATCTTCGTCAAGATCTTCAAGGCACCACACTCCGAGGATGGATTCGACTCTATCAATCAGAGACTGGAGATTTGCATCCAGTACTTTGGATTCAGCCTGCAAGTCAGGAACGAATCCAAAGTCTCGAATCTCGCGGAAGAGAATCGGCAGCTGCGCTCCATGATCCAGTCCATTATCCAGCAGCAGCAGGTTGATATGAGAAGATTGCTCAGTGGGGAGCTAATGTCCGAGGAGAGAGATGCGGTGAACGCGATGCTGGAAGGACTAACTTTCGACGACGATGACGAGGTTTATGACGAACACACGCTGTGTGCCACTCTCGAACAGCCTGGTTCTTCTTCCGCAACGCGAGTTCTACTCTTATACTCGGAGGATCTTGGAGAGAAAGAGCTGGCCATTCTCAAGCGGCTCTCAGAGTCTCACGTCAACATTCTCCAGTTCTTTGGGACTTATGTGGATGGCAAAACGAAGTATGCTGTCATGGAGAGGCCGGGGAAAGAAATCTCGACGCTAGACGAGTTTATACACAACAAGCCAGAGCTCAAGGATGGCCACTGGAGTCTCAAGAAGAACTTTGCTCTGGAGATCGCCATGGGGCTGCAATACGCTCACGCTGTGGGTGTCGTCCACAAGAACCTCCGGAGTCCAAACATCTTCATCGACGATAGCCAGGATCTCCGTCCCAAAATATTTGGATTCAACCAAGGAAGGATTGAAGCGTTGAAAAGTGACAAGCGGCCGCAGAGCAAGGAGCAGGTCCGGTGGAAGGCTCCCGAGATGTTGCCGCAGGCAAACCGAGCGATCAGGCGCCCCGAGTATAGTTACGCGTGTGACATCTTCTCGCTGGGAGTCGTCATGTGGGAGATCGTCACTTGGTCGTTTCCATTTGAGCAGATCAAAGGGGTGCGAGGCGTGCTCGAGGCAAGGGCAAGGAGGGGAATGACGCTCGATTTCTCGGCTCTTCCGCCGGGGGATCGCTCCCCAGCGCTCCAGTCCTTCGTCCAGATTAGCATGGATTGCATGGAAGAAGATAGCGGCAAGAGGCCCAACGTTGACGAAGTCGTGGAGAGGCTGTCACAGCTTGTTCCAGAGGACATGACGTTTTCTTCTTTGTAATCAATCGGCACGTAAAATATAAAATATAAAAATAAAATGGAGAAATGTGCTAAATTATTGTAGCATCGAAGATGGGGCCAACCATTTTTTGTCTTTAAAGAAGTCAGAAATCCTGTTTGATGATTTCGAGCATATAGGAGGCTAGTTGGAATAGCCAGAAAATCATAGCAGCAAGAAGGAGCTTGCGACCTTCTTGGGCAAGTTGGGCAGAATCTTTCAAGGCAATTGTGAACAGCTCTGACTAATTGTCAATGGTGTGGACCCCTTTCGAATGGCCAAAACAACTTTAATTTATTGCATTGTAATCCGAATTGAAGTTTTCTTGTGAAAAAATCAACTGTGAAAACGTGCTTTCTAGAAACGGGGACTTCTTCTTAAGTAGAAAGAATTGTGGATCTTAAGTTTTGAGATGTCGAACGGCAAGAAGTCTATTTTGCAGCCTTCAACTAGTGGTAGTATGAGCCAGCCACCATTTTCTGTTCAAGCCTTTCATGCAAACAATTGGTCAAGATTGCCAAGTTATGACACACATGCCCAAAACTTGAGATCACGGAGGACAAGTGGTGATAACAGAAGTTTGAGTTTGCAGCCTTCAATTAGTGTTTACAGCAGACGAAGCAGTGCTTCCAGTGGCAACCAGTTCTATACTAAAAGTGATGGGTGGGCTGGATCATGGTTAAATTCGTCCAGATCTTCAAGCTTTTCAACTACCAGCAGCACTAAAAGTGGATCTTCTGGAATCAGCCAAATTTCCGTCCAGGCTGTTGCTTCTACCGGACCAGTTCTGGAAAGGAGTGGTCACATCTTACCAAGATGCGGATTTAGCTCAAGGCCTCCATCTTCTGTTTCCGTCCAGGCTGTTTCTTCTGTTCCGGAAAGGAGTGGTCACGATCTTGTACCAAGATGCGGATTTAGCTCAAGGCCTCCATCTTCTGTTCAAGCTTTCAAAGATGGTCACAACAACTGGTGGAGCCTAACCAGTGATGGATCTTCAGCTTCCAGCTTGCAGTCGGCTCAGAAGTCCTCAGCACCTGACTCAGCTTCAAGAATTAAATCTGCAGCGTCTGTCCAGAACTCGGGCAGAGCATTTAGACGTGATTTGGATCAGCTCACACACACAAGCAGCACCAAGTCTCAATTTAGCTCAAGGCCTCCATCTTCTGTTCAGGCTTTTAAAGATGGTCGCAACAACTGGTGGAGCCTAACCAGTGATGGATCTTCAGCTTCCAGCTTGCGGTCGGTTCAGAAGTCCTCAGCACCTGACTCAGCTTCAAGAATTAAATCTGCAGCGTCTGTCCAGAACTCGGGCAGATCATTTAGACGTGATTTGGATCAGCCCACATACACGAGCAGCACCCAGTCTCAGTTTAGCTCAAGGCCTCCATCTTCTGTTCAGGCATTCGAGAGTGGTCGCAATAACTGGCCCAGTTCATCGGCTTCAAGTATTAGACCTGTCCAGAACTCACATGGTTCGGGTATGAGAAGGTGGAGAAGGTTTTTTGTGTCCTGTTATTGTTAAAAAACTTAAACAAGACTATCAAAGTCCATTGTAAATATTATTTCTGCAAGATTTTTACCCCATTTGTGCAGCTCTCCAAAGCAACAAGACAATGCTGCCACGCATCAACTGATGGATAGTTCATGTCGAGCAGAAACTGGACCAGAGAATGGAGCTCATCACAAGAATCGCCATTTTCGTATCTCTCCACAAGCTCACACCTTGTTTCAAGCGCTGCCACTGCTGCAATCCTCTCATCTTCTGCCTTGAGATGGCCCGTTGCTGCTAACGAAACTCCACAGTGAATTTGAGCAGACACAAGAAGCACTGTTAGTAGCAGCAACAAGAGCGCCTTGCTCCCCATAAAGGAAGAATGAAGAAATAGAACTCCTAACAGCTTTTTGGCTTTTTTCCTGGGCAGAAGTGCACATTTCAACCAACATTTAAGTCACCACTAAAGTTCAAGTTGTGTTTGTAAATTCAATTAGCTCAGGTTTACAGAGTATACATGTTAGAGAGAAGAACATACGTAGCTGAAAATCTGGACAAGTTCCGATCGAGGATAGCCTCATTTGCAGCACATCTGGCACTAGTAACTTTCACATCTGGTTGTCTTCCACACGAACCCAGGAATGCCGCCACCGCCACCTTGCCCGGATCGTAAGGCATGCTATCAAACAGGTCCTTGGCCTCGTTCACAAGTCCAGCTCTACCAAGAACATCAATCATACAACAGATGTGCTCTTCCTTGGAAACCACAAAGTAATCAAACTCCATCGAGCCAAAGCATTGACAAGCCTCTTTCAAATGACCTGAGTGGCTCAATGCCGTAAGAATGCTCATAAACGTTACTTCGTCCCGACTAACACCCTCTAAATTGAGAATGTAGAGGAGAGTCTTGGGGCTCTGTGGATGCCGCGAATGGGCATATGCTGCCACCATGGCTGTCCAGGACAGTGTGTCTCTCGCGGGCATCTGGCTAAAAAGGTGCCACGCCTGAAACACGTCACCGTGGTGAGCATACGTGGCAAGCATGGCATTCCACGTCACCCCGTCCCGCTCCGGAATCCAGTCAAAGCTGGCCCTGGCCTCGTCAACGCAATGACTCTGACCGTACGCCGCGATCAGCGCATTCCACGTCACCACGCTACGGTACGGCATCGAGTCAAACAGCTTCCTGGCCTCGTCAACCAGGCGAGCCTCGCCGTACGCACCAACCATCACGTTCCACGTCACCACACTCCTCAGCGGCATTGTATCAAACATGACACGCGCCTCCTCCAAATGCCCGCCCCGGGAATATGCCGAAACCATGCTGGTCCAAGATACCAGGTCGTGCAGTGGCATCCGATCAAATACCTTCTTTGCTTCATGGAGATTCCCAGCCTGGGCATATGCTGTGAGCAGAATCGTCCACGAGACCAAGTCCGCTTGTGGCATCTTTGTAAGTGTGCTATCCAAAGATTCTAAATTCTGGGCATGGGCATATGCTCTAAGCATCGCATTCCAAGAGACTACGTTCCTCTCAGGCATTGCATCAAAGATTCCCTTCGCCTCTCCCAAATGCCCGTCCTGGGAATATCCCTGAAGCAGCGAAGTCCACGACACAATGCTTTTGACCAGCGCAGAGTCAAAGAGATTCTTAGCATCCTTTAGATGCCCATTTTGGGCATATGCCTGTATCATAGTGCTCCAAGTTACCACATTCCTCTCAGGCATGGAATCAAACACCCTCTTCGATTCTAGCAAATGACCCTTCTCGGCATAAGCTTTCACCATCATCGTCCACGAGACAATCGTCCTCTGTGGCATCCCATCAAACGTTTCTTTCGCATCTTTCATATGCCCAACGAGGGCATACGTCTGTGCCATGACCGTCCAAGTCATTACGTTTGGCTCCGGCATCTCTTTCAAGAGCTCGAGAGCTTTCCTGGGCTCCCCATTTTGCCTATACATAGTCACCACCGTGTTCCACGACACAACGTTTAGCCTCGGCATTCGCAAGAACAGCTTCTCGGCCTCTTCGACATCGCCCTCTTGCGCATAGGCCCCGATCATCGCGTTCCAGGAAGCTATGCTTCGATCCTCCATCTTGTCAAACAATCTCCTGGCTTCCTGGAGCTGCCCGTTCTGAGCATACCCAGTGATCAAAGTGTTCCACGAGACTGCGTCCCTGTCTCGCATTCCATCGAAAAGCTCCCTGGCTTCTCGTGTCCGACCGTCTTGAACGTACGCTGCGATGAGCGTGTTGCACGAGACGATGTTCTTCTCCGGCATTCTCTGGAACACCAACCTTGCCTCGTTGGTATGCCCGCTCTGGGCATACGCCGAGACGATGATGCTCCACGAGTAGACATTCGGTTGGGCGATGCCGTCAAACACCGCCCTCGCTTCCTGCAAGCTCCCAAGTTTGCCATACATCTCCACCAAAAGGTTCAAGAGGTACCTGTCCTGCAAATGGTGCTCGCTCTTCCGGATCCGACCGTGTAGCTCTCGGCCCTGGAGGAGATTGTCACACGACTTGACGAGTGTTGCGAGCTGGAAGGCTCCCTCGGCTCCGCTGCGCTGGTCTAAAACTTCTCTGGCCAGCCGACCCCATTTGAGACCAGGAACCGAGCTTGCGAGACTTGTCAAGTAGTGATCCGGGAGTGTTCCCAGCGCCAGACCTTGGTGAGGACCAAATGGTATCCTGAGATCACTGGCACTCAGCGCCATGCATGGTCTCTGAAGATCACTGAAAACTACGTTGATCTCTAGCCTGGAACTTGGAACCAAAAAAACGTTTCACGATTTATTAACATACCACTTTACGCACAAAGCTCTCGTCGTCCTAGTCCTTGATACTCTTCTGCAAAGACAATGAGCAAACAAAATGGTAAGAAATGGATCAAACGATTTGAGGGAGTACCTTGTCTTCGTCCTTGTGTTTCTCCTTGTCTTTCTTCTTGTCATCGCCCTCCAGCTTTGCTTCCTTCTTCTTGTCTTTCTTTTTCTCCTCCTCGTCTCCATGCTTCTCCTTCTTCTCCTTTTTCTCGCCATCGCCCTCGCCCTTGTCCTTTTTCTCCTTCTTCTCTTTTTTCTTCTCTTTCACTTCGTCTCCCTCGTCCTTGCCTTTCTCTTTCTTCTCCTTGTCTTTCTTCTCTTTCTTTTTTTCCTTCGATTCATCACCCTCTTCTCCATCCTTCTTCTCCTTGTCCTTCTTTTCCTTCTTCTTCTCCTTCCTTTCATCGCCCTCGCCTGATCCTTCCTTCTCTTTCTTCTTCTCCTTCGTGTCATCGCCATGCTTGTCCTTCTTCTTCTCTTTCTTCTCATCTCCCTTGTCATGCTCAGCCTCTAACGTTTTCTCTTTCTTTTCCTTCTTTTTTTCCTTCTCATCATCAACTTCCAAGCTTTTCTCTGTTTTCTCCTTCTTCTTCTCCTTGTCGCCGTCCACTTCCACGCATTTTTCCTTCTTCTACTTCTTCTCCTTCTTCTTCTCCTTGTGATCTTCGTCCACCTCCACGCACTTCTCCTTCTTCTCCTTCTTCTCCTTCTTCTTCTCCTTGTGATCCTCGTCCACCTCCGCGCTCTTCTCCTTCTTCTCCTTCTTCTCTTTCTTCTTCTCCATGCCACTGTCCTCCAGATGCATCTTCTTCTCCACGTCCACCTCCAAATGCTTCACTTGCTGCGCCATGTCCAAGGCCTGGAAAAAATCACAAACAAAACTCTCAGCAAAGCATGGACGATCGAGCTCTCTTATCAATTTCGCATTTGGATCGCCATTCCTATATAGATCTAACTTCTAACTGAGATCGATCATCGCTTACCAAGAGATCCAAGGCCTAGAAAATCACAAAAAAAATAAAATAATGGCTCTCTATCAATTCCGCAACGATCGCTTTTGATCGCGATTCCTACATAGATGTAGATATTCTAGCTGAGATCGATCATCGCTTACCCGGAAGTAAGAGATCCACGCGCCGCGATCCAAAAACCCTAGCCAAATGTAGGCAACGCGCTTCCTTCCGCGTGGAGATTCCATCGCATCTTTGTGGATACGTGGCAGCCAGCTGTGGACTATGGTTTGACTAGGGTAACCGTATTTGACTATCATTGACCGGAGGGGTGATTCTTTCGCCATCAAATAACAATAAAGACACACACGCTCCCATTTTATGGCCTTTGACACCGATGTTCCGTCACCTTGTCATCTTTTAGGGCAGTGCATGCATGGCACGCACTGCCATTGTCGTTTTGCCCTTAACTTTCTCTTCTATCACCCTGCATGGATGGCGAGAGAAAGAGAGAGCAATCAGACCAGCGAGGAGAAGGAGGCTTCTTTTTAAATGCACACCGGAGACAGCAACTGCAAAGAAGATAAAGGACTAAGAAGTCTCGATCGATCATCAAGCTGAAGCAAGGATTCTCATTTTTGTTTCCTGGCTCTCCATGTTGTTCTCGCTCAAGAGCTCTGTTTGTTGGGCATTTTGAGAGTGACAAGGCCATGGCATTTTAAAGGCGTGACCCACACCTTTGTCCTTCGGTCTAGCTCTTTGTCCTCTGAAAACTCGAGGAAAAGATTTGGTCGGTACGTTGCTCCTCTCGGACGATCTAAGCATCATAAGATACAAATCGTAGGACTTTGTGTCTTCTTTTCTGGGCTGGCTGTGGTGGCTGCAATGGTGAGCCACAAGTGCCTTTATCTCGTTTCTTCGACTGATGAACTCGACCTTATATCTTTGTTTCGCGTGTGTGCCAGGACCCAGAAACTCCCGGGATGACCAACGAGGGATTCTCCTCGCAAGGCTGCGATGATTTCCTGGAGCTCCTGCCGATTCTGCTCAACACCCACAACCAAAAGGACGTGATGCACAGCATGGGGATGCTGTCCGCGGCGGCATCGTGCTCTCCCCAGGATCACCACGGCAATGCGGCTAGAAACGCTGCAGCACTCGCGGTGGCTACTCCGGACCATCAATCCGGCGATAGAAAAGAGCATGGCTCTTTGGACACTGTTGTTCATCCCGGGGACGAGCTCTATGGCAACCCAGTGTACAGTAGCGCGAGTTGTAACAGCTCCAAGACTCCAAAGGCTGGGAGACTTAAGGCAATGGTTCCTCCGGCCTTGGGCGGAGTTCTCTCCGCCCAAGAGGACCTCGGACCCAAGAGTGGCGATGGCAAGAAAGCCACCGTGAAGCGCGATGTTTGCGGCGACGAGGTGAAGAAGCAGCAGCAGCAAGGTCAAGCGAGCAAAGTTTGCTCCAAGGCCGCCGGGAGCGCGTCCAAGAACCTGGTGTCAGAGAGGAAACGACGCAAGAAGCTCAACGAGAGGCTCTACTCACTGCGAGCAATCGTCCCCAAGATTAGCAAGGTTTATCATTCTCTCTTCTTGCTCCCCTAGAACACCTCTCGAGCCAGAGCTAGAACTTTCACTCTCTTGCAACGTAGAAACCTTTCAAGATGAAACCTTTGATTGGATTGGATTGCATCGCAGATGGACAAGGCGTCAATCGTGGCCGACGCTATTGATTACGTGCAAGAGCTGCAGGGAAAGGTGCAAGAGCTTCAGGAGGATGTGTCGAGCCTCGAGGCGGCGGAGAGGCGAGAAGTGGAGCTCGGGAGCGTCGTCGACGCCTGGAACGAGATGATCGTCAGTGACCACCGGGGTTGCAGCTATTCCACCGACATCGACCAGCACTACGCCAAGTTGCGCAACCAAGACTCCCGCAAAGCAGTCGAGGTAGTTCTCTTTCTTTCGTATCCATTTACAAGTTTGTTCTTCTCCAGCTCGAAGTTTCCAAGCTCGAGGAGCAAGTGTTCTACTTGAGAATCAACTGTGGGAACTCGGACGGAGTTCTCATCCAGCTCGCGAAGGCCTTTGAATCCATCGGGCTGGAGTTTAGCAGCGCAAGTCTCTCGTCCTTCCAAGGCAAGATCATCAACAGCTTCATCGCGAAAGTAAGCTCCTTTCCATCTTATAGTTCCAAGATCTCCTCATGGAAACGAGAAAACTTTGTCCAGATGGAAGAATGGAAGTCCTTGCACACCGACGAAGTAAAGAAGATCCTCCTTGAGCTCGCCTCCAAGTATGGAATCTATGGCTAAACAAGATATGGCCGTTGTGCACGACCAATGGCTAGACAATCTGGTAATTTTTACTCTGTAAAAAGGTATATCGCATCGTACAAAATAAAGTTGTGACTAGCAACGGTTAAAATGCACACAAGCCCCTAGCGAGGATCGAACTCGCGACCTTTCGCTTACGAAGCGAACGCACTACCACTATGCTATAGAGGCCATCCTTGCTAGGAACCCCTCCGTGGCCGGAAATTAGTCGCGAGCTTCCAATGTAATGGTCATGGTCACCGTCTCTTCTCCACGAAGAACTTCGAGATTTACCTGAAAAGGTAAAAACAAGAGTTTATGAGGACCTCGACCGCTTTCCAAAAGCTCTCTCTCTCTCTTCCTGTGCGAAGAAAATGTGAAAGTTACTTACAGTCTGCCCGACTTTGCAGGCGTCAAGAATTTTGTAAAGGTCGCTGCCTTTGCTAATCTTCTGCCCGTTCATGGACACGATAATGTCGCCCATGACAAGCCGGCCATAGGCGTCCCTCGTTGTCGATCGCAATCCCTGCGCGGCGCCAGTCAGCTTTAAAGTTCTGATAGAAGGAGTAGAAGTTTCGTTTTAAGATGCTTACGGCTTTGCCAGCAGGGCCATCAGGAGAGGCGCCGAGTACGAGGACTCCACTCACGCCAAGTTGCTCCACTGATTGGTCCGGCGCAAACGAAATCCCCAGAACCGGTCTCGTCACTTTGCCATACTTGATGATCTGGTCGACGATGCCAGCCACCTCCAGACAAGAACCGAAGTTTTAGTTCTTTCACGCTTATGCAGCCGAAAGCAGCGCGAAAAACGTACCGTGTCAACGGGGATGGAGAAGCCAACGCCGGATGACGCACCTGATGGCGAGTAAATTGCCGTGTTGATGCCGATGAGGTTACCAGAGCTGTCGAGCAGCGGACCGCCGCTGTTACCGGGATTTATTGCTGCATCGGTCTGAATTACGTCTTGTATTGGACGACCGTTTGCAGCAGATGTGATCTCTCGTCGCAGGCCACTGGAAAAGGAAAGCATATAAAACTTTGCATCCGTACTGAAAAGAGGACATTTAATCTCACCTGATGACTCCCGTGGTTAGCGTGTGATCCAGTCCAAACTGTGCATATACGTAAGGACGTCAGGAAAAGATCGCCGAAAAAGCTGCAATCGAAGCTGCTTACCGGATTTCCTATAGCGAATACTTTCTGCCCAACGAGAAGCTCTGAAGAATTCCCTAGTGGCAGCGGTCGTAATGTTTTGTTGCTGCTGGCATCGATTTTTAAAACCGCAACGTCCTTGTCTTGGTCATAGCCGACTATGGAGGCTTCGTGCGTAGATTGGTCTCCCATTGTGATTCTATTTATCAAGAAAACGTGAGGAGTTATTTCTTCTTCGTTGTTTGCAAACGTAAAACACAACTTACTTCAAGTCAGAGGCTCCTCGAATAACATGATAGTTTGTAACAATGTGCCCGTCTTTGTCCCAGACAAATCCCGATCCCGATCCTTGAGGGACTTCCATTATGTCCGAGGTGAAGGCGTCTCGCCTGTAGCAGCACAAAATGAAAAACGATTGTTAAAACTCTTTGCGAACGAAAGCAAAGAAAGAAAAGCGCAAAGTTTGCAAACCTGACTGCTAGATTTGTGATGTACACGACCGATGGAGTCGAATTCCGGAATAAGTTGATAGTCACAAGCTCATCCGACAGGAATCTTTGCGTTGACGTATTCACAAAAGCTTGCGCGTCCGCCGGTGTGATCATCACGGAGATCATAACCGCGAGCGACATGCACCACGTAGCATACGAATCCAGTTTGCCATCGCTCTTTTGCTGTGTCGATAGCCATCTGAAAATCTCGTCGCCCAAATTATTTTGCCGGGCTTGAAGATGTCTGATCTTGAGGAAAAAATTCGAAGAAGAAGAAAAATCTCGCCTGTCTTTGAGAATTCCGAAGCTCTTGCTAGATCCAGCAGCTGGAATGCCCTGCTCCAATTTGCTCACCACGACAATTCTAGAGCTGGAGCAACTAGAATCCCTATGTCGCCTCTCGCGCCGGGAAGAATCTAGGCCCTGGATGTTCGATGCGCTGGAAGAACAAGCTGCGGCGACTAGAGCCATGCGATGCGATCGCGGCAGCTAGATCCAGAGGATGCTGCCCCGGCCGATCGATTCGATGGATCGCGAAATTTCTACTTACAAGAGAGCGCTGCCAGAGAGGATCTTCTCCTAGGGCAAAGAACTCCGTGGCACACAGAAATACGACACATAGCGCTCCCATTGACACGCTACACCCTTGAGTGACGGCTGGGATACCTTTGAAAAGACGTTGCGTGGGCATCTTACCGTTGGATTATGTGTTCCAGATGCCCGGGAAAAGAAATTCTTTTTCTAATTTTATTATTGCTTGAGAAGCTTAGGAAGTTTTGCCTGGAAAAGGGTTACATCACTTCCGTTGTAGTCTAGTCGGTTAGGATACTCGGCTCTCACCCGAGCGACCCGGGTTCAAGTCCCGGCAACGGAATGTATCCTTTTCAGGGCCTTTTTTCATTGAGAGCTTTTTATGGCCGTCCAGCTGGACGGCTGGATTCAGCCACATTTGAAATTTTCCTAATGCACGGAATATGCCGGAATAGTCTTATGGCCATGGGCTGATCGCCATGTATGCCCATGAAACACACACCACTAGGTTATTTTCTCTCGCCGGAGCCCCTGTTCTTCGTAGTCCCTGCTTCTCTCCCCGCTCTCCGTGTCTAGGGCGCCGATCTGATGCCGCGGCGGCGCTCCCGGTGATCTCCGTTTCAATTTGAGCACTCTTTCTCTCACATTTGCTCGCCGCGCCGCGATTTTCCTTGCTTCCGGGATGCAGATCGGGCGGCGCAGCTTGTGCTTGACCGCTGGGTGCCGAAAAACGCAAGATTTGGGGTTGGAATCTTGGTAGGAGGCATTGCCGATCCAGGGTTTGCTGCCGCGAGCCAACAGGGTTTCCAGGGAAGGAAGCTTTTCTCCGCGGGCGAGGTATTCTGGAGATGGAAGGAGGCGCCGTGGCCAATCCCCGCACAGTAGAAGAAGTCTTCAAGGATTTCAAGGGGCGGCGAGCCGGGATGCTTAAGGCGCTCTCTGGAGGTAAGCTAAGCTCTCTCTATTTTTTTTTCTTTCTTTGCGCCTCTTGCTAATCTTACCACTTGCGATTGTATGTAGATGTGGAAGAGTTCTACCGACAATGTGATCCAGGTTTGTACTCTTTCTTATCCTTTAGTCTAGTGTGGTGCTACTACATGTATATATAATGGTCGGGTCTTTTGTTTAAGTGTGATATTGACTTTGGTGTATGGTGTCACTTTTTCTCTTATTGACTCCAGAGAAGGAAAATTTGTGCCTTTATGGTCTCCCCGACGAGACTTGGGAGGTGAATCTTCCAGCCGAGGAAGTGCCGCCGGAGCTCCCTGAGCCAGCGCTCGGTATCAATTTCGCGAGAGATGGCATGCTCCGAAAGGACTGGCTTTCGCTTGTGGCGGTACACAGCGATGCTTGGCTCTACGCAGTCGCGTTTTATCACGGTGCCCGCCTCGACAAGAGTGAAAGGTTAGTGCTTTTGTTTATCTTCCAAGTTTTGTCCGACAGTTTGATTAGTATTCTTCTTGTTGGTACTCGCTGTTCCTTTTTTCTTGTCAACGATTGTGGTAGATCTGAGATTTTGTCTTTTTTCCATTTGATGCAGGAAACGACTGTTTGGGATGATGAATGAGCTACCAACGGTTTTCGATACTGTCACTGGAAGGAAACCTGTGAAAGAGAAATCCAGCGTGAACAACAGCGGAAGCAAGAGCAAGACCTCTGTTGTCAAGGTGGGTCTTCGATCTTTCTCCTTTCTCTGTTTTTACTAACAGCTACTACCAGAACGAAGGCGGTGTAAAGTCGTCCAAGGCACCCCCCAAGGAGGAGGACGAAGCCTTTGACGACGAAGACGAAGAGCACGGTGACACACAGTGTGGAACTTGCGGGGGGAATTACACGTCCGACGAGTTTTGGATAGGCTGCGATGTCTGCGAGAAGTGGTTTCACGGCAAGTGCGTCAAGATCACACCGGCCAGGGCGGAGCACATCAAAAAGTACAAATGTCCATCGTGTAGCAACAATAAGAGAGCTCGGGGATAGCCGCCAAAGGGAGAAGCTCGACGTAGCGTTATCCTTGGGAGCTCGTTTAGTTGGTCGGGGTGGGCATCAGTCATCACTTTGAAGGGCCGGTTCTGGACATCGTCTGTACTATTTATTTTCCTTCCTCCTCTTCCTTCATCGTAGTACCTTTTGCTTTCTTCCTTAGTTGAGCGCCCTGTAGTCGAGCTAGAATTTTCTCTAGCAGTGGTTCTGACCGATTTTCGTTTGTGTTCAGCTAGTGACAATCATGCATAGCGAAAAGGCCTTCACTATGCAAACCGGGCAATCTGGGTTGTCACCAATTGACATGAGCATGTTGTATACTACAAAGTGCTCAATACCAGGTTCATTTTATATTTATTTTCTTTCTCGTTCGTCCTCTTCTTCAGTATAATGTCGTGCGTGATGTCTTCCTTGTTTCAGCTGGTTTTAGTGGAATGGAAGTTTTCTCACTTGAGTTTTGCTCTCCGGTTTGGGTTCGCCTTTAAGAATGGTTTGTAGTGTGGGTCATTAATCCTCTCCGTGCTCTCTTTTAGGACTTCCCTGTAGCTCTGCTGCTGCTGTGTTTGCCTTCCAAGACGAGGGGGAGAGAAAAAAAAAAGTGTGAGGAAAGACTGCGTCTTGCGTTGTTTGCGTAACTTTGTTCTGCAGTTAAGCTAAGGACGAAGAAAATACAGTGGTTCGGTTAAAGAACGTTGGGAATAAGAGCCTTCCGAGTCTTTGGAAAGCCTTCCAACTTCTGAACATACCAGTCCCGGGTGGAGAAGCTCCTTGCAGTGAGGTAGAGCATGACGAACACCGCACAGGCAAGAGACATTGTTGTTTGGCTGATCATTGAAATCCCAATGAAGGTGCCTATTTCGAACAGGTACTGCGGGCATGCCACCTTGTCGAACAATCCTCCGTGTGGAACAATGTACTTCTTGGTGGTGATGCTGTCCCGTCGGGCCGTCGCAGCAAGCCCCTCGGCCGAGTTTCGTATCCGGGCAAGTATGCAGTGGTGGTAGAAGTTTCCAACTATTCCCACCATGAACACTACAACTCCTAACCACATTGTGTTGTACGTAGGCTGGTAGCACATCGCCTCGGCAATCTCTTGGGCGTAAAAGAGATTGAGTGACAGTAGCGCGAAAGTCAGCGACACTAACATGCTCGTCACTCCGCATATTGTTCCGGTATACTCATGAAGAAAATTCACCTAGCAGTTGCAAGTAAGTTAGCTTTGCTTCAATGGAGTTTGTTTTTCTCTCTTTACTATGTGAGCTGCAATGCAAATAGGTACCTCGAGGACTCGTTTGACGAAATGCAAAGTCATGGCTGCCGAGACGAGTACTATGCGCAAACTGGCACTGTTGTGGAGGCGGAGATCGTATGCCCAAGTGGAGAGTCGCATCGCCTCCATGAACGTCGGTGCGTCAAAGTACTCGAGTTTGTGGAGCAAGAAAGCCGAGCAGAGCAACGCCGCAGGGAGGTAGAACATGAGCATTCCAATCTTGCTGGGCAACTGGAGGATCTTCTGCTGGCGACCGGCAAACTTGGAGTAAGGCAGTGCCGCGCCACGAAACTCCTGGAGCGAGAGGAGGACGCCGCCGACGAAGAGCAGCATCTCCGATCCCCATACGTACCTGGAACCCGAGCCCGTGAAGAAGAGGTACGAGGAATCCGGGCGGCTATCGCCGAAGAACATCTCAATCTCTCACTGGGCTTCAGTTTCTTCCAGGAAATCGAGCATCACGGTCTCGTCGTCCAGTTCTTCGCGTCTTTCATCTCTTCTCGGGGCGGTGGTGGTAGAATTGCTCTTCCTCTTCGCTGGACAGAAGTTGCTAAACCGGATAATTCGGTGTCAAAGGGACACACGGTGCATCGCTTGATCCGACGGTGGAGGTTGAGTCCCTCAAAACGGTAACTTGAAGGGCTGGAGATCTGTTTGTGAATATACTGGAATAATAATATTTAGGGTTCTTGCAAGGTCTTAGGGTTCTTTTTTGTTTGGCTCTGTTGGTCGAATCGATCGATCGATCGATCGATTTCCATGGCAACCACGGCCACGCAAGACGGCGCCGCGGCGACGGAGGAGGTGAAGCTCGATCTCTTTGAGGACGACGACGAATTCGAGGAGTTTGAGAACGGAGGTAAGCACGATCGCAATGCTAGGGCTACAGTCGCTGGAGCTGGATTCTTCCCCTTCTTTGATCTCCAGAATGGGACGACAAGGAGGAGGAGGACGCGCTCCAGCCGTGGGAGGACGATTGGGACGACGACGACGTCAATGACGATTTCTCGCAGCAGCTTAGAGCGGAGCTAGAGAAGAACGAGTCCCAGGCACCGAGCGACGATATTTCGCAGCAGAAGAACACCAATACTTCGAGCTCCTAGGTAGTGGTAATCATTCTTTCGTCCTCTATTCTTTTTTGTCTAAGAAGTCCTTGTCTTGGTGACAGATTGACTAGCCGATCTTAAAGCTCTTTGTCCTTTCCTGGTGGAATCAACCGAGCTCGATTTTTTTTTTCTTCGTGTTCTTACTGGCATCACATGTCAATGCTCCTTTCCTGCCATTGGGATTGCTGACTCTTTCCTCTATTTTTTTTGGTTTTCGCGTCATAACGGGTGTGTTTCCACTGTTGTAGTTCTAAGTGTGCACACAGGGACGCCAAGTAAGTTTGCGTTGTTTATTTGGATTTGAATGGTCATAACGAGTGTGTTTTCACTGTTGTAGTTTTTCCAAGTGTGGACACAGCCAAGTAAGTTTGCTTTGTTCTGTAGTAGTTCTTCTAAGTTTGGACACAAGGAGGCTCTCCATCACAACCAAGTAAGTTCGCTTTGTTTATTTTGGATTTGAATTGTCATGGTTGCGTGGCTCTCGGGCACAGTAGCGTGCGTTCTTGTGTACAGTGATTGTTTTTCTCTTAGAGCTTTTAGCTTTAGATTGTCTTCCCCCGAGTACTTGGTTCTGATTCCTTTGTTCAAATGCTTGCAGGTTCTTGGTGGAGGAGCTGGGGAACCATCTATGTCTAGCCAGGTAATATGTTCGTATTCTATTACGTAGAGAAGAGGTCTTATTACTTAGCAAAGTCTTCCTGTTCTGTCCTCTTCTCCGCTTCTCCGTCAACTCTTGCTCTCTTTCGCCCGCTATCCTACGTGCACATTGATGTGAGCTACGGACTGGTTCCAGGAAATCTATTCCCGTTTTGTTAGATATTTCAAACTTTGTCACAGGATTGGCATTAGTAAGCCCCTGAAATTGAGCCTGCGAGCCCCTTCAAATTTCTGAATGGCTTTGTTTGTCCGCTTGTGGTGCGGTAGTACTCCTGTGATATTTCAGACAGCGAATTGATGGCTTACCATCAGCATAGCTTCAAGTAGTAAAGCTTTCCCTTGTTGAAACTTCCGTGCCGTATGACCGGGTGTGGGCTTTAAATTGATCTTCTGAAGCGCTGTCACTGACTCTTCTGATCGAAAATCCTTGCAGCGTATCTCTCCGATGTAATCTGGAAGGCATCAAGAGACGATAAGCTCAACGCAGGCTGACGAGATGGATGAACGAACGAGCGACGAACGAACAATAGCCCGCGGCCATCCTGTACTACCGAGAATGCAAAGGTCCGGACTTTCTCGAGAGACTAAACGTGTTCGTGATGGACAGACAGACCAGACGGGGAACAAAGAAGAAGAGATAGATGCAAGGAAAGAAAGCAAAAGGCCCGGCCACAGACCAACATAAGTATGCTACTACTTATGTATTCACCTGGGATCGCTGTAATGGGCCGCAGCCTCGGGAAGAGTTCTCGTGATGTCGGAAGGAAGAAATCAAATCAGAGGAGATGGGGGTCACCTAGTCCGGAAGGTGATGAAGACGTGGTTGCCCCGGACAGAGCTGAGCCTGAGCCTCCAGAGCCTTCACTAGTGGTAGCAGCAGCGGCAGCAGCAGCAGCGGAGGCAGCAGTGGAAGCAGCGGCAGCGGCAGCAACAGCTGAAGTTGCAGAGCCTGGCCTCTTACGCTTCTTCTTCTCGTAGGCAATGCCACGAGCCTTGGCTTGCATCTCCCTCACTTCCCGAAGATAGAGACGGACAGCTCGAGCTCCAAAAGGATTCGACTCGGGTTTTCCACCGTGCTCCTCGAATGCAGCTCGGAGCCTTCCAATGAGTGCGTCGAGGCTCCCCCAGGCTTGTCGCAGCGGGCAGGCACAAGGTGCTGGTGGGTGTGCGAGGCCGAAGAAGGGGCAGGCTGGTGCGTGGATTTTCGTCTTACCGAACTGATCGAGGTAGCGCAGGAATTCCAGGACGTGAGCTCCGCTGCACCGGGAGAGCGCTAGAGGGGGCCGGTGGTTCTTGAGGTACTGGCCGAAGGTGTTCCAGTCGCGACGCTTCTGGGCCTCGTAGCGACTTGGAGGAGCTTGCTGGGACGAGGAAGCGTTTGCGTCGGCCCTGCTGGTAGAAGCTCCACCACCAGCAACTTCTCCGTTCGATTCATCTGGTAACAAACCACTCATCTTCCTGTGAAGTTTTTCTTCTTTTCTTCTTGTCGATTGAGCTGACTGACTCTTGGATCTTCGTTTTACTTGCAGGAATTTAGGTCAATAGTCGTCTCCACGAGGAGGAGGAGAAATGAAAACCAGTGAGGAGTCGGCTTCAACTTACAGGGCCCCAAGTTGTGATTTTTACCACCATCTGCCACTGCCAATGTGAAAGGCTGCTGCTGCTCGTGAAAGGGGGTCCTTGGGAATGGATCCAGAATCGCAGGACAGCGTACCATGCATCGAGGAAATCGGTACGCGAAAGAATGGTGTATAATGTTTTCCTTGATGATGATGAACCTGTGTGCTCCAGGAATCTCGAGAGAGAGGCGAGAGAGAGGGGTAGAAGTGAGAGACGCTCTACGAGATGGAGAAAGAGACCGAGAAGCTTTGTTGAGGTATGTCCAGTCCAAGTCGCTGTTTGCCTTCCACAGTGATGCCTGTGATGAAAGAGAAAGGCAGATGAAGCACAAGATCTTGTCAGAGACCGACCTGCTGTTGTCCAAGGCGAGATCTTTGCGCGCACTTGCCTCCCCGAGAAGGAGATCCTTCTCCAGAAGCTGCAGGCCAGATGGAAAGAGAGGGGGGAGGGGGGGAGAGAGCTCTCGGAGAAAAAAGAAACGAGAAAGAGAAAAGAGAAGGCAGACAGGAGGACGAGGAAAGGAAAAAAAAAAATGGAAAGAAAGAAGGGAATCAAAGCAGCCAGATGGGGGAGGAGTGGGATGGGGTAGTGCAAATGCAGATAAGTGATATGGGCAAAGACGAACAGTTCCAAGTTGAAGGAAAGGGGGAGGAAGCGATAAACCTGTAAGTACTATGCCTGTTGTTTGGACAAGTAGATATCTAAACGAGGTTGAACGCTGCAGGGGCAGGGAGGAGGGAGTAAACGAGAGGGCGAAGCTGGAGAGCACACGGATGATCGTGGCAGTGGCAGTAGCGGAGCATTGATGGTGCCCTCCTCGAGGAGAATCGCCCCTGCAGAGTAACAAAGAGGTACAGCCATAGCTATATCTCTACCGCCTTAAGTTGGAGCTTTGGATCTCTTCTCTTCGCTCCTCTTCTCTCAGCTTCTACCATTGCGGCTGTTTGCGATTACTACATAGGTAAACGGGGAGCGATGGAGGGGATAAGATGGAAGACGCTGCTCTACTAGGAACTTGGGAGGAAAAAAAGCACACAAAAACAAAACAAAGGTAAGTTTTTGCGATATTTTTTTCGTTTTTTTTTTCTTTTCTTTCTTATGTGTGTTGCTTTGTAGGGTCAAGGCGTGGGGGCCCTCATGCAAATGCATAACGTGCCATAAGGCTCACGCCAGCCAAGGAAGAAAAAGAATTTCTATATGCTCCGGCTTGGCACGGGGATCGAACCCGGGAGCTACTGGAGCTTGATTAGTGGGAGATTAATTGCTAGGTGGACGTCGTTATCGTGGGACAAAGCACGATTATTTGATTTTTTTTGGCACTATAGATGTAGAGTGGGGCGGATTCTTTTAAGATTAAGTTGGGCCCCTTAGAGCATACCACTATGTAGCTTCCCTTTGGGAAATAAGAGATTCTTTTAAGCATTGGTACTATCTATGCGGAAATAATTGTTTATAATGGCCTTATATACAAAATTCAAAGGGCATCAATGCAGCAAGTTGCAGTACAATGCCCCACCATATGGAACACATCAATCAATCAATCACAACACACCAAGGTACGAGTAGCAAGCTTCAATTTTCATCATCCATTCCATTGGGTTCCATTCCATGTCAAAATTCTCCAGCACATACAAAAGACACATACACATATTTCTTGTAAAGATTTCGTGGATCTTTTCAAGAAGTCATTTTTATTTTCCTTTTTCACCTATGTAGGTTGTGACTTTTTCAGAAGAGATCAAGTTCTCAACTCCAATGGGTCCCTGTTTGGATTTTGTAGGGTGCAATACGCATCCTCTAAAATGACGGAGGGTATCTTACATGCATAAGTGGTTGTGGTGAGTGCTGCTTCAAAGAGAAAAAGAATGAAAAAGAAAACATGATTAAATCTAATATATTCTTGTTTAGTTTGCATGTCAACATTCCCTTGCTTGTCCACATGGGCTAAACTATTGATCTGGACAAGAAAATCAAGTGTCAAAACTTTAAAAAACTAGAAATAAAATACAAAAGAGAAAGTTCTTTAAAAACCTTTTTTGGTTTGCTTAAGCAAACCTATAGATGGTAGTGAATATACCTAGAGTATGCTTGGATATTCTAGGATATTCTACCATCTAACGGTTGGTATTCATTTAGATTAATCTGGTATTTATAATTTATAAACTTTCCTAAACCCTTTCTAGTATATTCTTTTTTATTCTATCATCTAATAGTTGATATGCAATAAGATTAATCTTGTGTCTATAAATTACAAACATGCTTATAATTATAAACTTTATTTGATCAATTAGATTAATAAGTAATAATAAAACTACCATTAAGCAAACCAAGCGTTGCTACATGCAATGTGTAGCAATTTATTTAAACAGTGTGTAATTGTTGTAACTAAAAAAAATATAACTATTTTATAAGTAGCTACTTATGTTTAGTTTTTGTAATAAATATGTAATATTCTAATTTTAAACTGAAATTTGCTAAATTTATTAAAATTTAAAATGATTAAATATTAAATAAATAAAGTATTGTGAGGTCCAAATGTATGGCTATGATGCCATATACTAATATTAGCATATATTGGGTTTTTGATAGTCATTAAATTGATTTCAATTCGGATCACTCACTCTTATCTATAATCTAAGGTTTTTAGGTTAGTTAATATGCACATTTCTATATTATTTTTCTATATTCTATACACTCACATTGGTGGAGGTAAGGAGAAATTTTGATATTCTCTGAGGAGTGCTTGGATTTGGAATTTTGGTTTAAATTTAATTTTTAAATTGTTTAGATTTCACTTTCTTTATAGCTTTTTAAATTTTTTCTCTTTTGTTTTTTTTCATTTTCATAGGAGAGTAGCATCCTCCACCTCCTTTAACTTTGGAGTAATAATTGGTGCAATTGCTCGATGTTATATAGTTGTAGTTGAACAATCAAACTTTGTGGCATTCACGGCACGTGGTATAACTCCTTACTTTTACTACCAATCCTCACATCCAATCAAAATTCTTCCATGAGAATCGTAGGAATTGATTTGATCACTTTACAGTGATTGCTAACTATCATTTTTGGGATGATGTTTAGCGTTTGCATGAATTTCCCACATATCTCTAAGGAATGGTGTTATAATGGTACAATGGTTTGTACACAATTACTCATGTGGATTAAAGCATTCTCCTATATGTCTTCAAGCACACATTTGGATAATGATAATATCTTCTAACAATTGCATTGTCTTCATTAAGGGTTATTTAAGGTAGTGATGTAATTGTAAGTAATTAAAAGAAATGATCTATAAGGGTTTAAATATAGAGGGAAAGGGCCTATAAATAAGAGTGCATCCCATTTTTCAATCGATTAAGGGTCTTGGGATATTTAGGGTTAAATATCTTTAAGTTTGAATAGTATTGGGATGGGTGACCTCTCGAGAAGTCTAAATTCTAGAGCTTATAGTAATTTGGTATTCACTTCCAAAACCTTTTGCTTTGTACGGAGCCAAATATGTCAAATGTTATGGCTAGCACTTTATTAAAATCTTATGGGATTTATGCATACACTTGCTCTAACCACCCTTAACAATACTCTTCAACTAACAAAACATTATGAGACATTGGCTTTTTCACTTCTCACTATATGTTTTTCAACTCTACTTCTTATGGGAGATGGTTTTGTTTCAATGGAGGTTGATCTTGCTGCTCATATTCAAGGACAAGGGGGAGGATATAGTTATGGTTATGATGTTCGCTACTGGGTGTGTGATGAGATTGGTCATACATATTGGCATTATCAGCATTTTCCGGATTAGTATTTCTTGGGTGGATGTCGCGAATGTGACTTCGGGTATTGAAAGTTACCTATCAGCTAGTCCTTACGGACACTCTTACCTTATTGCCACGATGGCAGGAGGTCGGTATTGTTGGACCCATTATCAGTTTCCCACTTGGGCTAGTTGAGAAACTGGTCAATGACCATGTACTTAAATCGGATAAACATAAGGTAGGAACCTTATGTGTTTCTTGCTGAGCATACTCGGCCTGGTTTGAGAAACTCCTGTCATTGTCTTGCACTTGCTAGTATCAACAACCCCCGCGATATTGAGATTGGTCCCTCAACATCGCTAGATGATAGCTTACCGTGTCTGCCAAACACCCTTGCTATCATGCCCTTTATGTTAGTCTCATTTCGGTCCTAAATGCTATTTATGCAAAGTGTCCAGATTTGTTCATTTGGCATATCTACGGAATGTAGAGATCGGCCTGAACACAATGGTGTTCATCCCACATCCAAATTTGCAATCTAAGGACATTCCATATTTAGTAAGTTTCAAGTTTGTCCAAGAGATTAACTCCTAATACTAAAGGAGGCTTGGGGTGAAAGCCCAAAGCGTGTGTTCCTTAAGGGGGGGGGGGGGGGGGGGGGGCTATGGGGGTTCCAAATGTATAGTAGGGATAGTGGGTAGGTCGGGCATGGCTGACTAACCTGAGGCATAGTCTAGCTCCCGCTTGTGTGCCTGTCCTTGTTCTGCGTCCGGCTTAGGTCTAAGCCCAAGTTCCATTCCATGCTAGCTGGTGGAGTACCCATATCCTCACGCTAGGTCACCAGTATGCCGAAATATCGCCAGATTCCATTTGGCTCCGTTTTGCGTGTTGGTTCTGGCATTAGGATGCTGGTTACTCCAGGACTGTTCTAAGTCACTCCGGGCCCCTGTCCCTTCGCTCCTTGGGCTGTATGCTCAGGAGTTGCTCCATGGTCTGGTTCCATCACTCCTTGGCTCCACACTTGGGAGTTTGGCACCATTCCTTCGTTCAGTGGCCCAAGGCTTTAAACCTCGGGTTCCTATGGACACGTGGCATGACCATGTGGTATGTGACACGTGGCATTTGTCACGTGGCACAAAGAGGGTTTAAGTCCTGCTTCGTGGTGTTATCCTATAGTAAATCACCATAGGATAAAGGGTCAAAACCACATACGCTACAATGGAGGCTTTAGCATCAACAATGTTCTATTGGTACTACTATGGTGAAAGGTTGGATACCAAGATTCTTCTGGAAAATAAGGAATCTTACGAGTACTGGAGAGTCCTTGCGCAAATAAAGATGTTGGTACTGCTATGGTGGAAGGTTTGGATACTGAGATTCTTCCAAGAAATAAGGAGTTTTACAAGTAGTGGAGAGTCCTTATGCAAATAAGATTATTTCTTTTGAGAGTATCATCAAGGGGTTCACTTGACATTAATTCACTTGGCACCAATTCATCCAATAATTACTTTCCAAACTTATTTTTATAACAATGTAAGCTTTTAAATTTAAACTTCCTGAGAGGTCATCTAGCCTAATACTATTCAAACCCAAGGATGGTTAACCCCAAATATCCTAAGACCTTTAACCGATTGAAAAATGGAGTGCACTCTTGTTCATAGGCCCTTTCCTTTTATATTTGAACATTTATAGATCATCTTTCAAGTTGTTTTCTTTGGTTTTTTATAATCCATTATGCTTCCCTACAAGTTCACGCCCTTGTGAATAAAAGCTAAAAGCCATAACTCTCCCAAAAACCCCACTCTCTTGACACCTTACCTCTCAAGTCGAGCCCAACTAAAGCACATTAGACCTGCCAAATATCAATCAACATATGGTGTAATTCCTTTAATTAACCAATAGAGTTAGACCCAAGACTGTTTTAATACCAAATGTAACCTTTTGAATTTAAACTTCCCGAAATGTCACCTAACCCAATACTATTTAAACCCAATAATGCTTAACCCCAAATATCTTAAGACCCTTAACCAATTGAAAAAAAGGGTGCACTTTTGTTCATGGGCCTTTTCTTTTTATATTTGAACCCCAATGGATCATCTCTCAAGTCATTCTCTTTGGTTGCTTACAAATAAAAAGACTTCTATTATTCTCTCCGTGTTAGTTTATATAGGCTCAAGTTAATTTTCTATTACTCAGCCTATTACCATATATTGCCATCTATATTCACCTTATGTAATAAAGCCAATTTTCATTCTTTATGGCAATAGCCATACACATGTATATACATGGGATGAGACAGACTTATTTGTGTGTGTAAGCAATCTTGAGCTTGAGCTTGAGTCATTGTAGGTGGTGTTGAGTTAAGCTTTTGATATCATTTTTGGTATGGATTGGTTACTATACAATTATTCCAAGTGTGACTTTGAAGTTTTTCCCCCTTGTTTCATATTTTTTTATATTTCTTTTATTCTTTTTACTTCTGTTCTTTTTTGTCCTTATTCTTCTACCTTTGCTTCCATCACTCTTATTTTTCAATTACTTCCTCTTATGTTTCCATCTTGCTTTTTTATTCCCTCTTTATATCCATCCAATAGTCTTTATGTTGTAATAGTTGACTGGCTTATGAAAGAGTATGTTAATCTCTTTGAATTTGACTTGTTGTCTATTGCCAAGATT